CTGTCACAAGATTGTTGAATATCAGGTCCTCATACTCCTCATTTCCGGCATTTTCCACCAGGATCCCAAACAGCGCGTCAAACACACTGCTGAGCTGCTTGACGATCTCAATCTCGGGCACAAACAGAACCCTCTTCAAGGTATCCAAGACCTCATCTACCGGCCGGTCCTTCCAGTGCAGCAAGCTCAGAATCACCTGGTCCTGGGAGTATTCAGTGCTGCACAGGTAGGTCTCCAAGCGCAGGGTGGCCAGCGGCCCTGTAATCGCTTCGTCCTTGGCCGATTCGTTCTTGCCGAGTGAGCTCCAGGGGAGGGACAGATAGGCACCCTTGCCGTTCTCGATGCTGGACGTGTGCTTGTCGTAGGCATGCAGCAGCAGAGAATGAGGACCGTCTCGGATGAAGGCCTGGTTGTCCCACAATGGCATCCATGCCAGGGCGAAAGGAAACTCGGGAGCGTCTGCAATGCTCATGATCAAATGAGCACCTGGTATGTCCTCCGTGGGCACGTTCAGACGTATCGTCTGGTTCCAGGGCGTGCCCCGTTCCGTAATTGTGGTTCGCCATGCTGTGTGTGCTACGTTGTTGGACGAGGGGAAAACGCATTTTTCAACCCGGGATCCAGACGCCGCCCGCACCTCGAGGGTCAATTGCAGATTGCGGAGCCCCGTACTTGTCGGCACCGGGAGCTGGCCCGCCTGCGGGTGCGACAGAAGAGCTTCGGGGGGAAAGGTAGCGTGAGAAATGGTCACATAAATGTCGGACCGGGGTTTCGATGGCGCCTGAGAGAAGCCGATCCGCTTCGTCTGAATCACATTGTGCATAATGGTTGGGTTTTTTCGGACCAGGCCGTCGGAATCGGAGTCCACGAACGGGTACATGTGTAGATGTATGCGAGAGGCGCGCTCGGATCTCACGTATTTCCCATTCGGGCTTGGGAGCAGCATGCGTATCAACCCGTCAAATCCATCAACGTGGCCCTCGCCCTCTTCCAGCCACGAAGAAGGAGACCAGATGTTGACAACCTGCTCGGCGTCTTTCACTTGCCGAAGGATCTGCGATACTTCCAGAAGACCGACCCCGAGAGTGCGCAACGTCGATAACTTTGGAGGTTGGGTCTCGGCTGCTCGTTCTTTAGTGCTGGAAGAACTCCCAGAAGATTGGGGGGGCCCCGCGGAGCTTTCCCTCCCTTGCTCGGCGCTCTGGATGCCCCGCGGCTTAGTGCTCCAAATCATACTGCGGCGAGTTCTGAGGCTACCCTTGCCTGCCTGGCTGGCGGAAGTAGGCGATCTCGCAGCCGAGGAACTACCTCGAGAGATTGAGGGTCTGGACTGAAGAGGGGCGCCTACTGTCGGCGTCTCCGGCGCACGAACCTCAACGATGAGATATAGTTTGGGGCCGTTGGCCGAGCCATCTCCAATGTCCGTGGCGCACAAATCGGTGAAGAGTGTTTTCAACTTGCTGCTCTGGCCCATGCTGGCGAAGGACTCGGGGGACGGAATCTCCAGCAGGTATGTCTCCGAAAGGGGCTTGGGGGCACCATTATCGGTTTGGGAGCAGAGATGCACGGCGAGAGTGACTGGACCTGGGGAGTTGCCGGAGACGGCATTAACCTCGAGGAGGAGATGATGTAGCGCTGCAGTATCAGAGTGCTGAGTTGTGGGACTCTCATCCAACATGCTCATTTCGGATTGGAGCTTGGTCAACTGGACAGCTGAATCCTCGCCGGTCAACAACCGGCCCCTTTGCTCAGGATCTCTCACGATCACCTCCCCTCCGAGCATCTTGTTACCGCGGACAAGCTTCCAGACCACTTCCTGTCGCAATGCCTCCTTCTCATATGCAGTCAACACATCGTGCAACAGCTGCCTCCGCGCGAAGTCCAATTCTCGGACCAGGTTGTACATCTCTTCCACCACGTCATATTGACGCGCCAATAATAATTCATGGAGATTCGTCGAATGCCACTCGCGCAGACACGACGCGATCTCGTCGACCAGCGGCTCCGACAACGAGGTAGGAGTCTCATCACCGATCTTGAGCATCGGAACCGGGGCGGCTGGCTTGGGCGCATTAGGATCGCGAGGAGTCAGGGTCACTGGCGTCAGCGGCGTATGAGGCAGCGAGGGCGTCTGGATGATGTGGTTGACGGAGACCGGACTCGCTTGACCGTCGTCGAGCCTCTGGATAAAGATCTGCGAGGGTTTGCCCTTCTTTGCAATGATGACATTCGATACCTCACCGGCTAGATGCTCATCATCCTGCGAGTAAGCGACGCTGCTTCTCACGTCTGTCACCGGATCATCTGCTCGGTCGACACTCAATCGATCTCCATTCGTCAGTGCTTTGTGCCCGTCGCCGTCGCCGAGCACTTCCCGAATCTCAACACAGTTGCGAGGGAAGATGCCGGAGAAAACCCTCGCTTCGAGAGTTTGGCCCTTGGTGCTCGTCAGACCCGCCAAGAGCGACGGCGGAGCCACCAGATACCCACGACACCATTCACCATTGACGCCCCCCTGCTCGATTATGTACAGTTCATCGCCAAGCTCTAGTGGCAGGTCGGCGGGCGTCGACGGCTGGAAAGGATAGATGGCAACGGCGAAGGCAATCCGAGGCAGAGGCCGCCAGGGCATATCTGTTATGAAACGAGCGACTCAGGGCAAGCCCCGCAGTGGTCGTCAACGGCCGTCGAGAGAAATGAGGGGCAGTGCGCCAATCGATGGAAGCGAGCAACGGATCGGAATTTGAAAGCGTAATACTATCTCCTGATCGAAGGAATGAGGGGCCGCTACATGCGAGTGTTTGCGTCTAGGGATACGTATGGATGGTTAGTGAGGTGTGGAATGTGCGATTCTCCAGAGCGAACATTAGATACCAGAATATGTGTGCGATCGACACGATTTTGGTAGAGACGTATGAGGTTTCAAGGAATGGTAATTTGCCAGTCTGTGGACTTGAGGGGACATCAAGGAACGGGGGATGTCAGTGTGCGTCGTTAAATCAGAAAAGAGCGTCGGTGACGGGGGATCATGACCACGATGGCTGGAGACAGGAGCGCAACAAGAAACCTAGAATTGAAATAACAAATTCAGTATCAGCATCAGAAACGCAAAACGTCAGTCTGCTTTCTTTCTTTTTCTTTTGCCTTTCCCCTCTCCTTTGAGTCTAGTAATTTCCTCCGCCTTGCCCCCCCTTTGATAGCGGTGGATGCATTATTATCCAGCTGTGGAGAACCAGCAGATGTTCCCCTTGTCAGGGAAATGTGGAGAAAATCGCCGTTCGAAGGGGGGGGAAGAGAGAATTGAAGGAGATGGCGGGATGCTTACCGAGTGAGAGAATGGCAGGAGAAGGCAGAAAGAGTTCAATAGTAGATATAAGAGAGTGTGAGAAGGCGACAGGGAGAAAGAATGGTTGGTAGAAAGCGATCACGATGGAAGATTGAAGCTACGAGAAAGGGTCCAGGCACTCAGGCAGTAAACCTGCTGATCGCCAAACCGGACGGACCATCGATCTTGCTGGGGCCTGAACACACGAAAACTACGGAGATTAGCCAGTGTCTAGTTTGGAGGCTGGATTGTTCGAAAATAAAGTCATTTGGATATATATTGCATTGCAACTATCGGAGTCATTTATGCGGATACTTTGACAGTGTCCCGAGTCCCTTGAATCATGTTCGAGTCTACTCTCTACCCAGCCTTTCTATTCTTCCCTCAATCGAGATTGACATGATCAATGCCATGCATCTCTATCGCACGTTCTTCTAATCCACTTCTCCAGTAGTCCTGTATGTTGACTCTCTGGTTTTGTTGCTCGTCACCTCACCAAATAATAGGTACCTTGAAAAGACTATGCTTCAACCACGGCGCAGCATCGGCCCCTGAACCAGACCCGATCATACTCATGCACAGAATCAATCTGCAGTCCATAATGATATTAAGATGCTCGCCTTTCTACTGATACTTGGTACGCACTTTTTCTTCCAGCCAACCAGTGACAAAACCGTAGTGCAGATCGTCAAACAATGCCCGAGTCTTTGGTGCGGTCAAGGAGTCACTCTGAAACACGATCGTTTCTGGCAATGAACATGTTCGTGGTCTTAGTGATACACTGTTGATAACCAAGAAATTTAGATCAACATATCTACTCATGGTGTGATTTCATATCATAATGAATCAGTGGGTGACTTGGAAGCAGACACAGCATTTCCATCTGTCTGCCTTGGTATATATTTGACCTCTCGAGATGTACTGAAACGCATGCAGTCCCGAATGTGGCCGGCCTGGTCAGTTATATATATTACTGGAGGCTACCTAGCTAGAGAAAGAAGCAGTCGACCAGAAGAAAGCAAAACAACTCATATGATGAAGATGCTCCTCTTCACTAATAACATAGAATAGATGGCAGACTGCCAAATGTGGCCGCGTCCAAGCTTTATTTTGCCATTGATTTGCCAGCCCTTCCGCCACTCACTCTGGCTCTTGTATCCACGCTCCACTAACACTATTATATCTCACTCGCCCACACTTTTTGTTATGTTAATTTAGCAAACGTCTTGCTTCCATCCCGAGGATGACTTTCCTAACATTTACTCCGTAAGCCACAGAAACACTGTGCTTTTCTTTGATAGGGTCCTCGAGAAAGATCTGCACACCTGTCGGTCTGATCATGTGTACCTTCAGGTTCTCAATCTTCGACGTGGAAAGAATGGAAGAAAGCCTCCATCCAGTCCATCCTTGTGCAATATTTGCTTACAGCTAACCTATCCTGGTTCTTTAGCCAAGAAGCAAAAGCTGTCCTAGGATATGACAAGCCTCTAATGCACGTCGAGGACTTGAAAAGAATTAGACACTACCATTAGCAAACTAAGAAGAATTCTGGGCGGCCACCACAAAGACGCGGCCTTAGCCCAGAGAATGGATGGTATCATGCGTGCTGCTTGCCGGATGAGCTGAACTAGCAATCTCATCTCGACCAGGTGAGACCTTGTCCCTCGATGACTTTTCAGGGGTATGTCTTGCCCTCTTCATACACCTGCTTAAACACCTCCTCTGTGTGCTGCACCACCTTCTCCACCGCCCCCTGCCCCCTCGTCCTCTCCAATTTCTTGTTTGGCGGAAACACCTCTCCGTCCCAACTCACCCAGTAACAACCACTCCCCTTCGTCCCATCGCTGCCAACCGCGACATCCACTTCTATCCCCTCTCCCTCAGCTTTCGGAGGATACCTCCCACTCGTCGCCGCAAACAAATGCCTCTCCCCACTCTCCTCAAGCGGCACCATGAATGGTCTCAACAGCGGCGTCAGCACAGCCGACAGCACGCGTCCAGCTGGCAGTTCACGCAGCACGCCCGTGGCCACGCCAGAGGGGTACGCGTGGACGAAGGAGGTATGCGGGTGTCGCTGCGCCATGCTCTCCAGGAAAAAATCCCCCATCAGACTGGCGTGCCAGCCGCATTTCTTGAGGCTAAACGTGTGCTTCAGACTGAGGTCAGAGAAGTCGAGCGTGCCAGAGCCGCCGGCACGGACGGAGACCATTGGGTCTAGGACGGAGACTACGCGGGATAGTCTGGCGCTGGCATCGACAGAGGGGTCTCGAGCGGCTGCGTTCAAGAGGGGAAGCAAATTGGTGATGAATCGCATCCGCGCGTAGTAATGCAGCACGAATTTGCGGTCCAGACCTTCGGCCGTCTCGTCCCGACCTTTCAGTGTCATGTAACCGGGTGTCATGAAAAGCAGGTTTACTTTCTTTTCTCTGGCTGCGATCTCGGCGCACACACTGTCGACGTTTTTGAGCAGGGATATGTCGGTTTGGAGAAAGGTTGGCTGGGCGGAGGGGTTTATGGTTTTCATGGAGGCGATGGCAGCATCGGCGGCGGACTGGCTGCGGCCGACGAGATAGATTTTGAGGGAGGGGGTGTGACGGGTGAAAGCGAGGGCAGTGGAGAGGGCGATGCCAGAGGTACCGCCGACTGGGAGGGTGTTAGCGAGATGGAAAGCTTCCAGGAGAGAAGTTTCACAGCGATTGCTTCACCGTAGAGGGTGGAATGTTGGAGCAGGTTGAACTTACCAAACACCGCGACGAGACCTGAGGAGGCTAGGGATTTGAGAGCCACATTGTGGGCTTGGATGGTGTGGAGGTTCACCATTGCTGCTTCGACCTCTCGCGACTGGGTGGGATGTAGGAAGCACGCAAAGGATCTTGGATTTCTTATTGCGATGAACACTTGATGCGGAAAGAGGAAATGGACTGGAAAAGGAGGAGACAGCGTTCGGAAAGACGGACTATCCGATAGCTAGCTGCACTTTGGGAACTGAGATGAGGTTCAGCAACGAGAAGGTGGGTGGGTTCTGTCGTCTCTGTCGTCTCTGTCGTCTCTGGACTGGACAGGGATGAGGAGAGTTACTGCACATCGATCTTCTAGCCCAAAACAGCCCAAACCCGCCTGTGCAGCTGCCCGGGTTATATGCAGCAAGGTAGGCAAAAATAAGAATCTTTCCCTCGATGTGGCCAATAGATGACAGAGGTGATTTGGCTGATGTTGAAGTGTCAAGGGAGACAGACGGCTGACGAGAAGTATGAGGTGGCTGACGTGAACCACCAGTCGATGGCTGACGATAGGGATTGTTTGCGTGACACAACCAAAACTGATCGCAGAAGAAAGAAAAACAGCTTCAGTCAGCCAAAACCGACAGTGAAGAAGCCTGAGGCCGTGCACTAGGCAACATGCTGCTTTATCAAATAATGAAGCTCCCCTGTGGCATCCTCTGCTCCTGGCAGTTGACAGTGACACCCCATCCCGACAACCCGTGTTCTACCCTTCCAACTTCAGTCCTACCTTCTTCACTACAGTTCATACTTTCTGATTGACGCTTATTGGCGCCGTCGAACAAATACACCCGCAAACATGAGCGCGGTGGGCAAGTTCGGGCCCAATGGCGACCGGGAGCCCGAAAGTGCGGAGGACAGCATCTCCAGTCTGGAGGTGAGGGAAGCAGAGGTTCACAAGCTGGCCTGACGGTTCACAGAGCAGAGTAATCACTCAATGGCTGCACAGAACCCCTTTGCTGCGGAGCCTGGGTCGACTCTAGACCCCAATGGTGAACGCTTCAATGCCCGGGCTTGGTGCAAGGCCATGCTCCGGATGTACACCGAAGACAGCCAGGCACATCCACCCCGGACCCTGGGAGTGGCCTTCAGCAACCTGAATGTGCACGGATTCGGTTCGGATACCGATTTTCAGAAGAGCGTGGGCAACGTTTGGCTGGAGGCTGTCGGTCTGGCGAGGAGGCTCATGGGTCACCGCCAGCGCAAGATCGATATTCTGCAGAACTTGGATGGTTTGGTGGAGGCTGGAGAGATGCTTGTGGTCCTTGGACCCCCTGGATCAGGATGCACAACTTTCTTGAAGACCATCGCTGGAGAGACATACGGCTTTTACGTCGACAAGAACTCAGACCTCAATTACCAAGGTACGCCCGACGTCAGTCGCGTGATGGCTTCCAGCTAATCGTCATTAGGTGTCAGTGCAAAGCAAATGGCTAGCGCGTTCAGGGGAGAAGCCATCTATACCGCTGAGGTCGACGTCCATTTCCCCAAGCTCACGGTGGGGGATACCCTATACTTCGCCGCCCGGGCCCGAGCACCTCGCTACATCCCTGGAGGAGCGACTATGAGCCAGTACGCCACACACATGCGAGACGTCATCATGGCCATGTTTGGTATCAGCCATACCAAAAACACTATCGTCGGAAACGAATTCATCCGCGGTGTATCTGGTGGAGAGCGCAAGCGCGTCAGTATTGCCGAAGCCTGCCTGAGCATGGCCCCGCTGCAATGTTGGGATAACTCCACTCGTGGTCTCGATAGTGCTAATGCCATCGAGTTCTGTAAGACTCTCCGAATGCAGACAGACATCAACGGCGCCACCGCCTGTGTTTCGCTTTACCAGGCTCCTCAGGCTGCCTACGATCAATTCGACAAGGTCCTGGTGTTGTACGAGGGTCGCCAGATCTATTTTGGTCGCACAGCCGCGGCTAAGAAGTACTTCCTCGACATGGGTTTCATCTGCCCTGATCGACAAACCGATGCTGATTTCCTCACCTCCATGACCAGCCCCCTCGAGCGTGTCGTGCGGCCAGGTTACGAAAACCACGTGCCCCGGACCCCCGATGAGTTCGCCGCACGGTGGAAGGCCTCAGCAGAGCGAGCGCAGCTGATGCGAAACATTAAAGCGTATAACGCAAAGTTCACTCTTGGTGGTGAATACCTGGACAAGTTCAAGCAATCCCGCAGAGCTCAGCAAGCCAAGGTCCAGCGTGTATCATCACCTTACACTCTTTCATATACCCAGCAGATTAACTTGTGCTTATGGCGCGGGTACAAACGATTAAAGGGTGACCCCAGTGTCACAATCTCTTCGTTAATCGGAAATTCCATCATGGCGCTCGTCATCGCCAGTATCTTTTACAATCTCAAGCCCGACACCAACAGCTTCTTTCAGCGCAGTGCTCTCCTCTGCTTTGCTGTTCTCATGAATGCCTTTGGCTGTGGCCTTGAAATGCTCACTCTTTATGCTCAACGAGGGATTGTAGAGAAACACTCTCGATATGCCCTCTACCACCCATCTGCTGAAGCATTCGCATCGATGCTGATGGATTTGCCCTACAAGGTCCTCAACGCCATCACGTACAATCTGGTTCTCTACTTCATGACGAACCTCAGGCGAGAACCTGGTGCTTTCTTCTTCTTTGTATTCACTTCTTTCATCCTGACTCTAACCATGTCCATGTTCTTCCGGTCCATTGCATCGCTGACAAGAACCCTTGTCCAAGCCCTGCCATTTGCTGCGATTCTAATCCTGTCTCTGAGCATGTACACTGGCTTCGCCATTCCGAAACGGTACATGCTAGGATGGGCCCGCTGGATTTCCCGTATCAACCCTATCAATTATGGCTTCGAGTCTCTGATGGTCAATGAGTTCCACAACCGCGAGTTCATCTGTGTCAACTACGTCCCGTCGGGTCCTGGCTACGCGGATCTCGGGCCTAACAACCATGTTTGCTCCACAGTCGGATCGGTACCTGGACAGCCCTATGTCAACGGCGACAACTACATTGAGTCATCTTATGGCTATACCGCCTCGCACAAGTGGAGGAACGTCGGCATTATATTTGCTTTCATGTTCATCCTCATGGTTGTCTATCTGGCTGCTACCGAGATAGTCACCGGAAAGAAGTCGAAGGGCGAGATTCTCGTCTTCAGTCGCGGACACAAGGCCCTGAAGAAGGGCAAGTCAGAGGAGGATGTCGAGGGCGGTAGTGGCCGCAGCATTGCTGTGGAGAAGAAGACCCAATCAGACAACCTTGCCATCATCGAACGCCAGACTGCTATCATCCAATGGAAAGATGTGTGCTACGATATCAAGATTGGCAAGGAGAATCGCAGGATTCTTGATCGTATCGATGGATGGGTCAAACCGGGCACCTTGACCGCTCTTATGGGTGTCTCTGGTGCCGGAAAAACCACGCTATTGGATGTCCTGGCTACTCGTACCACGATGGGGGTTATCACGGGAGAGATACTTGTTGATGGCAAGCCTCGAGATGAGTCCTTCCAGCGCAAGACCGGCTACGCTCAACAACAAGATTTGCATCTGAACACATCCACGGTTCGCGAGGCCCTTACCTTCTCTGCGCTTCTACGCCAGCCCGCTCATGTTCCTCGTCAAGAGAAGATTGACTATGTCACCGAAGTCATCAAACTCCTAGACATGACTGAGTATGCTGACGCCGTCATTGGTGTACCTGGTGAAGGCCAATGTTGAGCAACGCAAACGTCTTACCATCGGTGTGGAGCTTGCCGCCAGGCCAGCTCTCCTCTAAGTCACATGATAATCATGTGACAGAGCATCTAAAGTTGTGGCCTCAGGCAAATTACTAAGTGTATTGCGTCTGTCCCCATTGTGGGCTAGGAGCGTTGCGTGGACATCCTGTTCGGTGGCCGGAGGATACATTATACCAGGATGCTTCTACACCATGTATCTGGAGTACTTCTTACTTTCTCAATTTCGTGACCATTTCGTGTCTTGAGCATAACTCGCTAGCTCGGGTCGTTTGAACTAACTCTTTAATATAACATTACGTTCTTACTCGACCGGCCACTGGTTATTCTGGTATAGCTTCGTATACTGTAGGGTTGTAGCAAGCGTTACCGAGGAATCTCAATCTCGACCTAGGAACTCAGCCTGATCAGGCCAAACAAGGCGTTCCGTAGTAGCAAGGAGAAGGTGGAGGAGGTGAGTTGCTGCTGCTCTGGAATCCATCGACAGTGAGCTTGAGGCTGACGCGAGCAAGTAAAAGGGGACGCATGGTTGGAGGACAGGAGGCGGGGACGGGGGATGCGGAGAAGTGCAGGAAGGCTTCATGATCGGTAAGTCGCCTAATCCGACAATTCCCCGTTAGAGTCATAGCAAGAGCTCCTCCTGAGTGACGGGACTTGCCTGTTCTATCCTCGCCGTCTTTCCATCCTGCATGGGCTTGGCCTATCGGTTAAAATGCAATGGATTCCCGCTCTGAGGTTACACATAGCTTCGTACTCGCTCTCTTGATCGAACTGATTAGAGATGCATCGCATACTTTCCGTCGTCTCGCTTTCGGCCTGTCTCCTGGCATCGACTGCTGTCGCTTCGACTACGTCTTCGACATTTGACCTGGGGAGATTCAACCCCCAGGACATCATCACACGGGATGTGGCCGTCATCGGTGGCGGCTCTGCTGGCACCTACTCAGCCATAAGCCTCAAGGACAAAGGCAAATCGGTCATTGTCATTGAGAAGAAAGACAGGATAGGTGGTCACACCGAGACGTATATTGATCCTGCGACTGGCACTACCATTGATATGGGGGTCATGATCTTCCACAATATCACCATTGTGAAGCACTACTTCAGACGGTTTGATATCCCACTCGCCAATGCTCCCGGGTTCTTCCAGTTGTTGCGCAACTATGACTTTCGCACCGGGAAAGAAATCACTCTTTCGTTTACTCCCTCGGCAGCGGAGGTAGCCGCTGCCTTGACTACCTATGCGGCGCAGCTTTCCAAATACCCCGGGCTGAACGATGGGGTATTCCTCCCAAACCCTGTGCCCGAGGAGTTGTATATGCCGTTTGGGGACTTCGTACAGAAGTACGGGCCCATGGGATGCATTGGTCTTAATTCCGGATATCTACCAAGATTCCTACACGTAGTACACGATCCATATAGATCTGTAGTAGTCCTTTGTTGAGATCTTTAGGCAGCCTGGAGCTCATCCAGCGGAAGTAGACAGAGCTCGTATGCAGCACCTCTCCCAGACAACACATCCATACACCTCTCGCAGGCCGTGTCAGACAGTCAGCTTAGTGGCAAGCAGCAGGGATATCTCGTATATGTATATCCGTCCAGACTGCCGTTCGTGGTGCCGTTCCCAACCACAGCAGCAAGTCCACAGTACATCGCGAATGCATGATGCATTCCATCCATTCCATGCCATTGCCCCTGCTCCCTTGTCTATCCTGGGTCATTTCGGTCGGGGATATGGTAGCAAGAGGCACGAGCCTTGAAAACGGGACAGACAGCTGTGGTTCGTGTTCGTATCATGAATCACATCTGTCAAGCATACTGACATCGGTACATCGACCAATCCTCCGAATTCTGATTCGGCCAATCATATCGCTGGGTTTACCAAGTATTGACTGCACTGCACTGCACTGCACCCAAACCCGCTCTCGTGCTGGAAATGCAGCTGCAGGCCCGTCCCCAAGAGGAGAGCAAGGAAAGACGCCAATTGGGCAACCAGAGTGCCAATCGACCCTAGCCGCTAGCCACTGGCACTGGCACTGGCTGCCTGAGAAAAAGTAGTCATTCTCCATGACGCCTTTTTGTGGCGCAAGGTAGGTAGATAATGGGTATTGTCAGGCAGGCGGGCATTCCATTCCGCCGTAAGATCTTGGGCCGGTGTAACCATTAATCTTTCTTATCATTGATCCTCTTCATATCGAGTTTGATGTCATCGGGTAGGTCATGATCATGATCATGTAGGATATAGCAGAATTCATGATCATCACGGTTGCTTCAAGTAGATACAGGTTCCTGTGGAATGGCCGGAAATGGGGATATTCTACTAACGGTTGCTCAAGGCTCGGCCCGCGCGTCTGTGCTTTGTCTAGTGTCGACTCGGGTGATCGGCTGTCTCTGTGTTAAAGACTACTATTGTAGTTCCTATGGTCTCTTAATGAGTCGGTGTCTGAATCTGCTTCGGTGATGGATCCTGGATGACAAAGTACATAACTGCTAGCTGTCATATTGCATGTATGACAATCAATCATATATTAGCTAGCTTGAAAAGAAAGCAATTCATATCGAATGCGATATCCAATATACGCCATAGCTCTACAGCCGTCAAAGTCAATGCTTCATAAATCCTCCCCAGCCAGAATAACGCAAAAGGGAGGCGGGCAGAGAAGCAAATACAGAGAATGATAAGTACATTATCGTTTGAACATCGCAATGGCATCCTCCTTCCGCCATTCCAGCTCAAGCTGCCCTTCGTAGACAGCATCCAACACGTGTCGCGTCCGATCATACGCTTCCTCATACCGCCGTTCGCACTCTCGAAGCACTTTCAAGACCAGGCTGCGACTGAGCCCCGGGTCGTCTGCATCTCCAAAGTGCTTCTCCACCCGTTTCTTCAACAATTCAATGCCGCGACGAATCTCTTTGCCATCATACATCGCCAACACCTTCTTGGCAACGGACCGGGAGTGGCTGGGACGGCTCGAGATGTCCGCCGGGTTCCCGCCCGCGGCCATCAGCCCTTCAGCCGAATCTATGAACTCAAGCAGCTTACCCAGTGGTCGATGGATCACCAGGTCCAGGTAGAGTTTCAGATGGTCCTCGAAATCCTGGTGCGCTCGATCGCGCCATCTCTCCAGCACGGGAAGGCCACGCACATCCACCTCCTCAATGTAGTGGTTCATATTCTCAATGAGCAGGATGTGGTAGTTCAGCACTTCCTTGTCTTCGGGGTCACCCGCACCAGCCGCCACTCCGGTCGGTGCCTCCTTGGCGATAAATTTCAGACACTCCCACATAGCGCGGTTGATCCGATCATAAGCCTCATTGACACTGACCCGAATGTCAAAGAACTCCTGATTCGGCTGAGAGAGCAGATTCTCAACCGCAGCAGAGAAGTTGGGGAAGACGCGCATGAACGAGATGACCCCCTTCCGCTTGTTGATCTTGACTTTGGTGTCCTCGATTCCCCGGATTTGTTCGTCCACGAAGCGATTAAACAGGCCATTCAGACGGGAATGCAGCTTCTGCAGGCAGCGAATAATGAACTCCTGGTTGGTGTCATCAAAGTCCGACATGGCCTTTTCCAGAGCAGACAGAATCCCGATTCCTTGCCTATGGCCACGTGTTAGCTTGCAAATTCATGGCAATCCTTGTCGAATCCATGTGTACTTACAGGGGATCCGTGTTGATAGCCCAGTCCACTAGGTTTTGCATGTCGGTCGACCAGAACGAGTAGAGCTCGTCCATAATCTGCTCGACCTTTCTAGCCATCCCACGGTCGGGATCATGCGACTGCCTGGCGCTGAAATCAGGGAGTGGTCGCTCATCGGGGTTGCCAGAGGCCACAAGGTCGGAGAATTCGACGTTGCCCAAGGAGCTCAAGTGGAAGAAGTGAACAATGAAATTTTGCTCTTCAGAGATCATCTTCAGGGTCTCCTGAAGTGTGCCGGCAAAGACTTCGCAGGGCTCCAGTCTCCCCTGCTGTTTCTCACTGGGGGAAAGCCGCAGACCAGCTGCGGCCCTGATCGTTTTGCCCCGGCGCACCGTCAATTTACGTGCCGCCATCGTGATGCCCTCGCTTTCCTTTTCTTTCTCCTGGTGGGTGAAGAGGAGCTCCTGTTCTTCTCCACTAGCTTTCCTGGCGGCTCTCTTCCACGCCAAGTTATTGTCCCGGAATTCGTTCTGATAAGGCAGTTTGGCTTGTTGTTCGTAGAGATTGATCAGTCCCTGCCACTCTGGCCCGCTGACCTCTCTGGCAAAAAGCATCAAAGCGTTGTACATCCATAACTCTTGACGGAAATATGCTCGAGCATCGTTATCCAGCTTGAGAGGATCCTTGGGGCCATTCGCTGCAGCATCGACTCTCTTCTGCTCGGCCACCTTATAGGCAATCGCCATGAACTGACGGAGTCGTTGCAGGAACATTCGAGACTGTGCTCGGTATTCCTCCTTTTTCTCTTTGATGGCGCGCATCTGTCCTATTTCCGTGTCGGCATACACCCCCACGCTCCCTTGCTCCCCGGCAGCATCAGCCAACCGTTTTTTGTTCTGCCATATATCGGGATCAATCATCAGCATGGCTTTATATAGCGTCGATAAAGCCGCCTCGGTATCTCTCAGGCCATCCGGATTGCTGAGCGACGACTCTTTGAGCGGCTGCAGGTCAATGGCAGAGATCGAAAGCGTCTTCAAAAGATTTTGAAGCTCATTATGAAGCAACTTCTGGTTGGCAGTCTGCACCTGCAAACCTTGAGATTGCGTCTCGATATACGAGACATCTTCGTGCAATGTCTGTACACATAATCAGAAAGAGAAAACCAGCGACGTAAGGGTCACTGCGATGACTTACGTTGAGTTCGTGCGAGTACAAAGTTAGCAGGCCATCCAGCTCTTCGCACTCTTCAATAGTCTTTTCAATTAACTTTGCAAGTTGGTCTACCTTGCCTTCCTGTTGTTCGAGGTTACCAAGCCAGCTTGTGGCCTCGACGCGCCCGATCTCACGACGAATGTCTGCCTCGAGATCCTCAATCTTCTTCTCATCGCTCAAACGTCCATTCCAGCCAAGATCAGTCAGAATATCATCGAAGTCCGCACCCCGCCCTTGGAGGATATTCGAGTCAATCCCTAGAGCCTGACAATACTTTATAGTGTTGTCTTCGCGACGCCTACGACGGCCATTCGGCGACGGAGAGACGGACCTTGCTCTTTCATCCGCAACGGTCTTGACTTCACCTCGGGCGGTATCTCTAGGTTCGTCCTGGGTTTCAACAGCGATCGTTGCAGTTTCAGCCGCTGGAGCCTGTGTAATCTCGACCATGGGTGGCTCCAATGCCGTAGGAGCCGTAGGAGCCACAGGAGAGGGCGCTTCTTTGATTGGAGACGGAAGGGCAGGGGCCGTTTCTCTGTCGGGAGTGCCAGACGCAATCGCAGGGGTGGGCTCGGTTCCAACCCGAAGCGAGGGCGCGGGAACGACGCCCGTGATCCCGTCTGGTTCATCTGACATACTTTGCTGCTTCTTCGCTGCGGCCAGTAGTCTCTCACCAGCACCACCGGGTCGGGGCTTGAACGCGCCGTAGGCAGTGGCGGCTTTGCGAAACGCACCCGCAATGTCTCGGCTTGGTTTCTTCTTGATCATCGGGCCCAGCCCCGGGCGGTGTCCTTCTAGCTCTTCTTCCACAGACTTGTAAGATTCTGGGGAGCTGACGGGTGGTGGACTTGGTAATCTCTCTGGTGGCGGTTCGCTCGCCTCGGTCACTTGTAGAGAAGTCATGGATGGTGCTGCTTCCAGAGGCGCAGCGGCCTCAGATGACGTAGGTACATTGTTGCTTCTCGAAGAAGCTGGTCGCAGTGCAGGTGGTATGTCGGGAGGGTGCATCTTGACCGGGCCGGCTGGTTTATCAATGACTTGAGACTCTACCTGCGCCTCTGGAATCGACAGCTTTTCCCTGCTCTCGCCCAAAGACTTACCTGCTTCCATGCTGCTTGGCGGGGTCTGCGTAACATCGAGGTTCTCGGCAGACACAGACACAGGTGTACTAGGAGGAAGAGCTTCCTTATCGCGTCTAGTCTCGTGCAGACTCGAGCTCAAGTTCTCAGTCCGAGGCATAGGTCTGGGTTCTAGGCCAACTTTCCCATCTTGTAGTAAGGCTGATGGTCGAGTGTCCGGGCCAAAATCTGCTTGACTGCTTGGTTCTACACCGGTGTGTGACGTTGGCTTAGCAGCAGCCAGAATATCGGGAACCTCTCTAATTCTCGGTTCTGGTGGCGACAGTATGGGTACCTTGGGCAGACGTTCATTTGACCGCGGAGGAGGTTCATCTCGCGGGCCAGATGGAACTGCTCCCGGCGGTTGGGGAGATGGCCCCAATGGCGAAGGAGCAGCCACTCTGCCTGATTGGCTCGTAGAAGGCCTTTGCATCTGATCTCGACTTCTTTGCGCCCGTAGAACGTGCTCTTCAGAGGGCTGTCGTCTGAAGTCACGAGGAATATCACGGGGGCCATCGCGGCTGGGTGCGCGGCCGGTGTATGGCGACTGAGGCCGGCTGCCCTGCGAAGAGGGTGAGCGAGGAGCAGATAGAGCTCTCTCGGAGCTAATAGGTCCTTGTCCAATGCCTCGCGAGCCCGGAGGACCAGGAGAAGGACTTCCAACGAGCAATTGCCGCTCGCGATCATCGAAACCAATGAGATTCGGCACTTTTCCGCCGGTGTATTTCCGATAGATCTTCACGAGACTTCCGATGAAAAAATCTTTTTCCTTGGAACTCCTAGCATGCCAGTAATACGGTTTCCCCACAGTTACCACAAAGCCGACAGTGGCGGCCCATTGCTTGTGTTGTTGCTCCATTGGCGTTGACGGGACAAAGCCGGTATATGACTGAATCGAGGTCAAATCGTCGAGCATCCACGTCTTCCCGATAGAAAATGTGCCATCATTGTTCTCTCGAGCTTTATGCATGCGCACTCTTCCTGATCTCCTAACAGCGACGACAATCACTCGAGGTTTTTTGTTGTCAGGTGGTGAATTGGGAGGGGCAGGGGTCGACGGATACGCGGCATCTTCCGTAATGCGAACATGGGTTATATACGATTCGACTACTGTTGCAGTAGAGGTGGTCAGTCTGGATGTCTAGAATGCTGATTGCGGGAGAAATGCCCATGTCCCGGCGCGGGGTTGTTGCTTCAGAGTTACAGGACAGCAGCCAACTTAACATAACCCCCGGATTCCCTTTCTCTCAATCGTCGTAGTCCGCTCCAACCCAACGAGCAAATTGGGGCGCAACGCAACGTGGAAGGTGTAAGGAAATGTATACGTACAAGAGCCATCGCTGTCCTTCTTCGAGAAACAACTTTGAATGATTCGTTTCTTTTCGTCTTCGAACTTCTCCGCCCTTGACATTGTTGCCTCGCCGGGCCCAGTGAAACCGCCATTGCGACCGTCGCCGATCCGGCGTGGCTCTCGATGCGGCGGGACATCGCTGGGTAGAGGCACCCGAGACCGATCACGACTGCTCATGGCTGGTTCTTTTTGCCTTCAAAACTTCGATCACTCGTGGGGTTTGATTTGAGGATTAGATGAACATGGTCGGAGAAACTGGGGAGGGCAACTCGAAAACCACGCGCCCTACAGAAGAAAGAAATCTCAAACTAGAGAGGCCGAGAGGCTTAAGGTGCGATAACAGACCATTGAAGTCAACCGAGGGACTTGATCGCAAGTGCAAGCTAGCTTGATGAGCGTGTTGTCCACTATACAGGCACGGAGGAGCGAGCAGCGAATTAGCTCATCAGCCACTGGGGTTGGGTCACTTGCGGACACTAGTCACTCAAAGTGGGCGGAGAGCTCGTGGCTGTTGCTCAAGTATGTTGGATGGACAATGGTTGTCTGGCTGTTTCCATTGAATCTTGAGCTCGGGATTGATCTATTTATTGTTTTGAATGTTGAGCTTCGAGAATGCCGCTCTTTTTCATTGCATAAAAGATCATTCTCAATCCCATTGTGTCATAGCCTCAATGTTGTACCTACCTGGATCCAACGGGGTTGTTGTGATTTGATCATCAGCATGCATATGTCACGGGGACGCACGTGAGTTGAGTTCGGAGCTAGACCAAGAAAGGAGAGCCAATCATTACACTGCATCTCTGACCGCCTTGCTCGCCGTTTTTCTGCCCAATTTTTTTTAAACCTTTTTTTTTCCCTTTGAGTGAAGACCATAAACACCAGTTCGAGTTCTTTGTTATCTCTTGCTCGAGGCGAAGCAATTGTACGGCTTGGTCAAAATGGCGGCACAGAAAGGGAAGAAGTTGTCCTCAAAGGCACCCCAAGAGAAGTCGAAGGTAATTGAGCAGTGGTTGCTCGCAAGCATGTATGCCGACCCGGTCGACTGACGAGATTCTGATTCAATAGGCCAAAACTGCCACTCCTCCACCAGAGTTAATTGCGTCGATTGCCGCTTTTTTGTCAGAGTCTGGCTTCAAAAGTACAAGCGAGGCTCTTGCCAAGGAGCAGTCAAAAAGGTCAATCGTCAAGGCCGACTCGAAGGATGTCCCCTCACTGCTGGACATCTTCCAGAGCTGGCAGGACCGGAAGAGCGACAACAAACCGGCCAGTCCTTCCAGCTCTGAGTCCTCCAGTAGCTCATCGAGCGAGAGCAGCTCCGACAGCGATAGCGGCTCGAGCAGCAGCGAGGATGAATCCAGTGACTCCGATGTTGAGATGAATGACGCGCCGAAAATGCAAAAGAAGCAATCTAGAGAATCCTCTCCTTACTCGTCTTCCTCTTCCAGCTCTGATAGCGATGCCGATGACGAAGAGGACGATGATGCCGTCCCCGCGCCTGCTCCAGCGTCGAAGACCACCGGCACCAAGCGCAAGGCCGAATCGAGCTCATCCGAATCGTCTTCGGATTCCGATTCCGAGGACGAGGCACCGAAGACAAAGAAGGCCAAGCTCTCGACCAAGTCAGACTCATCCTCATCTTCCGAGTCGTCGGGTTCGTCGTCCTCCGAGTCCGACTCCTCCGACAGTGAGAGCAGTTCTTCTTCCTCTGATTCCAGCTCAGACTCCGACTCCTCGTCTGAATCCCAGGAGGAACCCGCCAAGAAAGCTGCTAAGAAGACCCTGAAAACTGCTGTCAAGACCCCGTTGCCTGAGTCAAGCTCAAGCTCGTCCAGCGACTCTAATTCATCCTCCTCCTCCGACGAATCCTCCTCCGATGAGGATCAGAGTAGCGGTAGCCCCAGCACCTCGTCCTCGCAGAACTCGTCATCTGCCAGCAGTGGAACTGTTCAACCCTCTGATTCCGATGCGAAGAAGCCTGTGAACAAGACTACAAAGCAGGTTCAGGAGACCAGTTCGTCCAGCGCCAGCCCGGCTCCCGGAAATGACTCAGCCAAGAAGAAGCACACTGGAGCTCGTCCCACACCTCTCGCTGTTCTTAGTGAGCTGCCACACGACCACCCCTCGAACGCCTACATCCCATATGCCTACGCCGAAAAGGCTTGGCAGGATCTGTCTGTAACTCGTGGCAAGGGCTTCACAAAAGAGAAGAACAAAAAGAAGCGTGGCTCCTACCGTGGGGGGCCCATTGACATCTCGGGAGGCAAGTCCTTCAAGTTTGAGGACTAAGGGCATTCCAATGGCAACGACTACTGTTGGGTCGAAAGGCCGCTCCATTTTTTAGAGCGCAATAGAAGTGTAGGGCATGACCTTGCTACGAGGTAGACGAGACTTGCCCGTTAATTCCGATGTGCTTCGTTTCTTACTCTTTTTTTTTTCTTTTCGCAAAAGTTCTGTTTCAGACGAGACTAGATCTAGAAGTAATCTTGGGGATTCTGCTATTTTCGTGTTTCTTCAACAAGCAGGGCGCTAATGGAGCTGGAGCGAAAATTCTTATTTGATCGTTGCAAAAAGCTTAGAGAAGACCGTCGATTGATTATCTATTTCTATTCCTTCTAGATATTTGGCAACGTGCTTTGTTTTTGACAATTCTCCTATTTTGGGGAGCAATCCTCTCTCATCCTACACATAAAACCTTCCATCCGTTCTTGCATAACCGAATATGGGTTGCCGACTGAGAAGATCCTGTAGAGTCACCACACTCACCCATCCGACCGTCTCCAGGCACCCGATGGTTCTAACCGCTGCCATCTTCTGTCCCAACCAGTTTTTTTCTCATGGTCAATATCGTCGGGTCCAATCCGAGCGAAGGGCTGCTGGGTCCTCAACTTGGAAGCACTGGTTGAATCTCGACGTTCGTACCCTGAAAGCTCGATGATTCGATCAGCTTGAGTCGCAGGACGACTCAAATCTGGGCTCAGGCCGAGATAATCTCGATACCATGCTTGGGAGGGCCCCGTTAAATCATCGGACGATGCGAAGTCGAGCCGCATCACCCCGTCAACGATGCCGGTGTAAATGGTTGACGAGGAGGGCGAAGGGGAGGACATGGTGTAAATTGGCCCGCGATATTGTCGATCTACGCGTGATCGTGCTGCTTTCAAGTTCCACCGAACTGATGAGGAGAGCGTAAGGAAGATTGAAAAATCTTTGCGCGGATAGGCGACAGTGTCTTGAAACCCGTTGAGGTAAGGAGTGGAGTCGTTCGAGGGCTGACGAAGGTCATTTGGAGGAGAAGGAATTTGTGCATCATTATGACTGTAGGCGCTTTGCATGCGGAGGTCGAAGATCTTGACCACAGCGTCTCCGCCTGCCCCAGCTAAAAAACGATCCTGGCCGAATGGATGTATACAATAAATAGGATTCGTATCGACTGTGTCTCTGTAGGTATACTCGAAAGATTGGTGCGAGCGTAGATCGTGAAGTCTAGTTCATGAGAGTTAGCAGAGGTGTTCATCCCTAAAAACTAGGTACGTGCAACCGACAACTGAGAAAACATAAGGGAAAGAAATACCTGATGCAGCGGTCACCCCAGGCAGCAAGAAACACTTGTCCGGAGGATTCTCTGGTGAACTGAGCTGTGAGAGGTGCGATTGCGCTCACATTGGCCTTCCGAGATAGGCCGATGTTTTCCCCGATGTCCAGGGAGGTCACACTGATCTCGCGGTTCAGCGATAGCCGTTCTTTCGAGATCGTGGCAACTGTCAAGGAATTCTCCAGACGTCCCGTGCCATACGCAATACAGTCAGGCGATAGGAACTTGGAATACTTGTTACGTGCCGTGCCGTCTGGAGTGATCTTGCAATGCGCAAACGACTCAACTTCGGCTTCTCCAGTTGTGGTCTGATAGAAGACAATTGATCCATTGTTCAAATGGGCCGCTAGAATAGGCTCTGCACCTTCACTCATCTCCGTGCGCTCAAGTCCATGGCCATTGGTCAAAAAATGTTGATAGTATCTGTGAGACGCCGTATCCGGCGAAATCGCAACATGAAATAGGTCGCCATTCAGACGACCAAATACCATGTGCTCGTCGCCTGACTTTCTGCTATGATGCTCTTGTCTGAGGAGATGTACACCACAAATATCATGGTAGCTGCTGATCTTCGCCTTCACATCGTTAAAAATGAACCACTTCTCTCCGGCGCTATACGCGGGCTGCCGAATTCGCAAAACTAACTCGTCTGCAGCGCCCCAGACGAGCACCTCCTTTCTTTCCGCCCAGGAACCACCTAGCCAAGATTCATATGAATCAATCGAAGGACGGTATCCGTGCGTAGGGTTGTCCTGCCGGGTGCCCTGGTGGGATCCAACCTTAACCGCATCACGAGGGGGGAGGACAAAGCGGCAGAGCAGTCCATGTCTGTCCAATGCTCGAGCACGCGCCGTAAGCGCCTGAGTTGCATCCTTCCAAAAAGGAGGCGTCTCAACGAAGGGGAAACGATTCTTAAAATGTGCATGGAATACCCGCCAGTCTTCAGCAGCGATGACAGTGTGCAGGCGCTGACAGGTCTGAGCGAGCGAGGCCAATGAGCTGGCAGACGGAAGATATGTTGCTATCACGTAGATTATGTCCGACGGTAAATCGGAAAGCAGCATTTCGAAATCGATTTCAGCACAGTGTGTCTATTAAACTCACGTAAGAGGACGTAAGGGATGAGGTTAATTCTTCCAAAAGCTTTAGCAAGTTTTGCTTGTATGGGATTCCAGGATGTTTGAGATTTCAGCAGAAAAAGCATACCTATAAGTGTATCTTCAAGAAGAAAGACTATATACTGTTATGAAATGTCCTCATCATCATGTTTCCGTAGCGATCAGGAGCATTTTTTGTGGATTTGAGTAGGGCTGTCAAGGCCCATCAGTCACCGCGGCGATATCTTAGGTTGAGGAGTCATGGCTTGACTCATGCAGCAACATTTATTTTATTTAATAGAAATCAAATCAATCATAGGAGAATATGAACATTAGATGTCTCTATAAACGGCGAAGTGTTTGTAGCTCTTTCAACGTTCAGAACCAAGCCTGACGTAAGGGCCTGAGAAATTATAGTTATTGTGTGCCTCCTTATGTCATCATCGGTGCCTTCGGTGCCTTTGTCCGCTATTCCTTATCGCCTTATCAGCCTACCTTATCTATCTGCTCATGCGGGGTGTTGGAGTAGTCCAAACCGATGTCCGTATCGCATTCGAATCCACTCGCGGAGTATCTATTACTAAAAGTCCAAGACATCCTTCATTGAGTCACATTGCCGCTGTACCACTCGAATCTCTCTTCGCTGTTTAGGTAACAGCAGAGTTTCTCATGCGGGGTCGGTTGTGGACATGGAATCCTCATAAGGTAGGTCCACCCTGTTATGGCAGTCCCTGCCGTCCGACTATACCTACGGAGAGAAGTCAACTGATAGACATATCTAGGCGTATCACTCTCTGCTGATAAGTTGGTGACGAACTTCCTTACCGCCACTCTGGTTGATGCAGCATCTTGAGAACCCCAGGTAATCTGAGTTGGCTTGTGATCTCAACCAAATCCGCAAAGATGGCGGTCTCTATATACACGTCGCTATCAGTTGTGGCTTTGCTACTCTTTGTAGCATACAGAACGATTGTGTATCCAGTCTTTTTATCACCGCTCTCAAAGATACCGAATGCACACTGGTCAGCCCCGATCTCACCTGCTTGGATACTCTGGAAGCGTTTTAGAAGCCGGAACAATCGAACTATCCAAGCGGCCCATGAAAGACTTGGGCCCATTGTGCGATTGGGTCCCTCGGAAATCTCGATAAATTGCGTTGACGGGGGTATCAAGACGGTTTATACTGGAGGCTTCGAGAAGCATGAGTGGTATCCTCGGGTCTTCGGATCGTTTGGGTAAGAAGACTCCGGAAAGCAGCAGGGTGAAACCGCTGACTGAAGCACAACATGCGTAGAACCGTCAGCATGTTCACCATGACTGGAAGCAAAGATCACTCGGTTCGCAAGAGGATGTTGTCCAACATCTACAGCAAGTCGTTTTTACAGTCGTCACCTCATATGCGTCTTATCTCAAGGACTATAGTATATGACCGTCTTCTTCCAATCCTACACGAAGCAGCCACTTCAAACGTACCTGTTGATGTTCATGACCTCAATCAGGGACTGACAATGGACTTCGTATCAGCATATCTTTACGGTGTCAGAAATGGCACCAATTTCCTTCAGGACGCGCCTTATAGACAAAGGATGCTCCATTTATACCAGTGCAGGAAGCCTTTTGAGTTCTATTACCAGGAAGTTCCTAACCTTCTTTCTTGGACAAAGTCTTTGGGCATCCGCTTGATACCAAGATATTGCGACCAGGCCAACGAGATTCTTGACTCTTGGGGGCTGAGACTGTGCGATAAAGCAGAGGAATCGCTAAAGTCGACCAAACTTGAGGATGAGCCGGCCGTGTATAAACAGCTCAAGCAGACGATATCGAAGCACCTTCCTGCAGATAAAAATGACGTGGAATACGCGCGGAACCTCGAGCAGCAGCGGCTTGATATTGCCTGCGAGATGTATGACCATTTGACGGCGGGTCATGAAACCAGCGCCGTCGCTCTTACATATCTCTTTTGGGAACTCTCAAAGCGCCCTGATCTACAGGACGCTCTTCGGAAGGAACTTTCCACCCTTGAACCAATGATTATATTCCCTCGACCATCCGCATCTGCGGAGCTGCCTCCGGCAAAGTCAATTGACTCCTTGCCCCTGCTTGAAGCAATAGTCACGGAGACACTGCGCCTTCATGCTCCGATCCCAGGAATCCAGCCTCGAGTCACGCCGTATCCGTCGTGCACTTTGGTAGGATACAACAACATCCCTGCCAAGACGAGGGTCAATGCACAAGCCTATTCCCTTCACCGCAATCCAGAGGTGTACCCAGATCCAGAAACTTGGGAACCGAAGCGGTGGCTGAGAGATGTCAACACTCCTTCTGAGTTGGAGGAGAGAAGGCGATGGTTCTGGGCTTTCGGAAGTGGCGGAAGAATGTGTGTAGGCAGCAACTTAGCCTTGCAAGGTAAGGGAGCATCTTCGTCACACAAAAGTATCAAGCTGACGTGACTGCAGAAATGAAATTAGTGGTAGCAGCTGTTTACACTAATTTCAAAACTTCAATCGTCAATGATGATAACATGGAAGCAATTGATGCATACACGGTGAAGCCAACAGCAGAGAAGCTGATTCTCAGATTTGTAATAGTTTAGTAGTTGATAGTCAAGTCGAATGTTTGCTGTCTTGGCTATGAGGATAAAAGTGAGCGTGGCATACCACACCAGGGCTGTGAGACAAGAATGATTTTAGCCATGTTATGCATACAATCAACCTACTACATTCACATTATGCATGCCAGGCATCAAATTGAATTGGTACAGCTTCATACATAGTAGCATGTCTTATGATACCCCCTGCATGATTACCCAATATGGTTCAATGTGACATTGATTCGAGTTTCCAGCTTGGAAGCTTCTCTGAAGCGGAAGAGCAATTCGAAGCATGGGAGGCATATGGCAGTATAAACTGTAAAATCATGGGTATACCTTGTACCACTAATGGCAAATAGGATATATGAATTGATGATAAGTTAATGTACAGATAACATATACAAACTCCCACATCCCCTGAAATAAAAGCACAGCCTTAAGTTGTCATCGCCGTAAATCGAGACCCAAACTCCAGTGATAGACGTGTTTTGATTTAGCCCGTCAAGCACAACTCAGTCCATAAACCCACGGCTCGCTAGAGCTCTGTAAATTCTGTCAAGCCACGGTCGACAAAATCGAGCCCGAGACCCGGGGATGTATACATGGTGTGATCATTTGCGACAGGGCGTGTAGAATCGCAATGAGTGGGACGAGCTGGTTTATCCGAGGCGACCCTCCCTCTTCTGCGGTCCAACAACCTTGGGATACATTCTCATGAGGTGGTAGTTGATGGTGTTCTTCTTGTTGCCCTTGGGTTTCTGCACAACGAGGAAAGTTGTTGTTAGCACTGAACGTTGAAGACGATGGTGAACGGAGCAGAGATAGAAACTATGTTTAACGTACCGGGCCATCCATGCATTGTCTCAATTGTTGCTCCAAGGCTGCGCAGCCCTCCACAGAGCCTCCGGAAGATGCCCAGCAGCCTATCATACGACAGTTAGATCTGGATTCAAGGTGCAGAGTTCGATTCATGACGATTGATAAGGAAGAATTATGAAGCCGCAGAGAAGCCAGGAAGATCGCAATAAGCAGATGAGGAACATACTCAGCATAGACGACATGATCGTCACGCAAGGATTCTGCTCATGTTGATTCGGACGCCGAACCCGCAGATGAGGGATGGTCTGCAGGCGGACGGGGTTGAGGCGAGTCGAGACGCCCTTTGGAGGCATTTTGACAGTCGAATTGAGACAATATACTCTCAGACTGTTGCACTCGAAAGAGCCGAAAAGCAAGAGCAGCAGCGTAGTTTAAACCCTCAGCCAGTAACCCTTCGACTTGCAGCGTCAAGAAATTGTCGGGAAACTTTCGGAGGTGCCAAGACTTCTCGGTGGCCGCAGCGGAGTGGCTGACATAAACACCTGGAGGCAACTATATGAAGACGATAAGCCCGAAGAGGTTCTGTATTGCAGAACTTCTCACGCTCTTTCCCCCCATTTTTTCCGAAAGGTTTTCGTCTTTTGATTTGTTGTAGATATGAGCCCAAAGCATACGACTATAGTTAAAAGCACTACGTCGTTATATCGACCCACGAGACAGATTCGCAGACGTTTCTCTACAGCGAGCAGGAGGCAGAATGCGGGTTCCCAGGCGAACGCGAGCAGTGACGCTTCACATTCACAGGGTAAACCGGAAGAAGAAAGCGCCATGCAAAGAAGGTTATCCGAGATGACCGAGCAAGTTATGCTTGAAGGAGGCCGATCAGCGCGAAGGAACATAGAGCAGGCGGGGTTTTCGGAAGACCTCAAGAAGCGGCTACAGGAACGAATAGCGGCAACTGCGTTCAAAAACGAGTATGCAGCAGCTCATTCGATTCTCAACATGCCGGTAAGCTGATATACAGCGCAGTTTATACCTATTACAGGGCTGTAGCTGACCAATTGAAGGAAAGTGCAGGTCAGGGTACTCGAGACATCGCCGGAGCTGCTCCCTGGACAGGGACAGAAAGCCTCCACGACGCCACCCTGCGCATGTTAGATAGCTCAAAGAAGCCGATGCGTGTTCCTTACAAGATTCCTCAGCCTGGTCCCGTTGATATGCGCATTAGTCCCAAATCCTCAAAATCCCCGGGCCTTCGAATCGCCGATGCGAAAGAGCGCAGCGCTACCTATACCTTGAGTCAAAGTTCCACGATATCGGGAGAAGACCGTGAAGCGATGCGAAAGGAGATGAGCGAGAGATTCACCGCTGGTGCGCGGCCGATGCCGATGACCATCCAAGGATTGTCATCTCTTGCAAACGAACGGATAGAGGACGCAATTGCGCGCGGGCAGTTCAATAATATCAAGCGAGGCAAAGGCGTCAACGTCCAGAGAGATCACAATGCAAATAGCGCGTTCATCGACACCACCGAATATTTCATGAACAAGATCATACAGAAGCAGGAGGTTGTGCCACCATGGATTGAGAAGCAACAGGAGCTAGCAAGGGAGGTTGACAGGTTCCGACAACGTTTAAGGGTCGACTGGAGACGACATGCGGCAAGGTTGATTGCTAGCGAGGGAGGGTCTCTAGAAGCTCAGATGAGACGTGCTCAGGCTTATGCGGCCGCCGAAGCTCGACTGGCGGAGAGAGCCAAGATTGAGCAAGCGTTTCGGGATACGGAAGACGCTGCGTCCTCTACCCCAGCGGATGAGACAACAAGGCCCGAAACAACCTCAGACTCCGATGGGAATCAGCTACCACACTTTTCGCCCCTACGTGATCCGCAGTACCTCTCAACCGAGCGTTCGTATCACGAGCTTCAAATCAAGCACCTTAATAACTTGACTCGATCGTACAACCTTCAAGCGCCACCCGTCGCCCAAAAGCCGTATCTTAATCTGGAACGGGAGCTAAATAATTGCTACGCAGATGTCGCCCCAAGTTTGGCCGACGAGATCAAACGCCGTGCTACGGAAAGAGTCAGCCCTCATGTGCCGACAGCAGGGTCAAGCACCAATAAGGTATTCAGTACCTTCAGTACTGTTCAGACTTTCCGTGTCTACGACGAAGACGCGTCCAAAGGTTACGGATTCAAGGATCTCTGGCGTGATCTGTTCTCAAAAAAGAACGAAAGGTAAGCCAGGTGTACATATGTCTGGGATATGTTATGTACGATATGAGTGAAAGACGCCTTGGACTGGATCCATCGTGCTATTTCTATCATTCTGACCAGAGTAATGAGACATTCATGCTCAGTAATGTTGATGAGTTTGACATTTCTTTAATACTGCCAAGGGTGAATGTGTTGCGCACACATCTAGGAGTCGCAGACGAACAGACACTTGATCACAATGATAATAATAGTACATGTCACATGAGGAAATGTTGAAACCTCAAGGTCGCCGCTGTCTTCCAAGCCACGACACCAGAATTCCAGGAAGCTGTTTCTCAATGACCTTGTTCGAAACGTTCTGGCATCCTTCCACCGTTGCACGACGGGCATCCCGCAAGTCAAGCCAGAGCAGGGTCACTGCCTTGACCGAATAGAAAAGGCCGACACAACCGACAGCTATCCAGAGTATCTCCAATATCTGAAACTTGGCGCTCTTAGGTGCGAAGACATAACGAATGATCGTCCAAACGTGGAATTGCAGGCTGGCGATCACCAAAGAAATTGCGAGCGCCATTGTTGCAATGCCAGCTCGTGTGGCGAATCGTCTCTTTTGCTCCTTGCGTCTTTCGATGTCTATTTGCCAACTGTAGAATGCTGTATGCCTTCGAATGAAGATTGGCAGATATATGGCCACTATGAAGAGGAACGAGAGAACAGTCACAGCCACAAGCAGATTGACCCGAGAAAGATGCAAAGGCGGGCCGCTGTCTGGTGCTGCTCTCTTCGACATTTGGTGATGCTCATTGTCGTCTAACGTCAATGACTCGATGGTTGATAAGGCTCTTCTTTTCAGAGGAATTATGAAGTTATGCCATGGAATTTTGGGCCAACCTCCAATCGGCCATGCAGCCTGTGCCAGGTCGGAGTCTCCGAATGGTAGACGGGAGATGAGTTCTACATTGCCAACCCAGATCTCATTGATCGCGTTCCCTTTTTCAAAGTAGTGATCTGATTTGACGCCGTGGATTGCGGAGACTTTGTTTCCCATTCTGGCAGGAGGCGAACGAGAGTGCGATTCTAAGATATTAAAAAGCGAGTGACCAGCTAACGCTCGAGAAATAGTGTTGCCAACGAATGACCTGACTGATTCTATTGCAAAGGGGAAGTAAGTATACGTATGCAACAGGAGAGATGAATTGCCTTAAAGCAGAATAGAAATTAGAAAGGCACTACATCGTAGTTTCCTAATTGAGTAATTCATGAAGCATCACGGCAATTGTGGCCTCAGGCAAGAACGGAAGCTTTGACCAGGACTTCACTAGCCTGATATGGGTTAGCGTGTGACTCGGAAGGCTGTACCTAACCAATCAACTTTCAAAGTTCTCTGAAGTGCCTAAGGCATCAAGAGAGCCAGGTAACATCATCAGGGTCTACAATAATCCCTTCAGATAACAGAGACATTAATGGCAATCTTGCTGACGTTGTGGATAATGTGCTAGGCGAGCTAGTTTTTCAAAGATACTCGGATTTTGGCACATCGAGACTAGACTAGCTCTGCTAAACCTGTTCGACGGTATCGTTTATCAACATGCAGTCGCTGAGTACATCGCACAGGCTATCTTTTGGAACATCGACTCTGCTATTCCGTCTCTTCGGTAAAAGTTGACTAACTACCTCCAATTAGCATAGTCATGTTGCTCAACCACCACAAGGGAGTGTCTTCATGGCCAACGATAGGATGTGATGGCGTGCCGTGTGTGCATGCCGGCGCGTATTTGCACCAACCGCCGTCGTCGGCTGCGTCGTCCCAAAAGTGTCACCATCTCCTTCAAACCTTCTACCAGTAAACCCTGCAGCTTTCGCAGCCTCTTCCTTCAGTCTTCACACTATCACATCCAATAAGTCGGCAATATATCCACTATCCCCCCTCTCATCCAAGGATGTGTGCCATTTTGTCAGTTTCCGTAAGGGATTTGCGGGCTCATTTGCAATCGATATGTATACTGATACTACTTAATTGCTTGTTTCTGGCGGATACGAACAATGATGCCCTTATTGATGTTGCTTCTCTTCACTTTTTGTCATATTGTTACTGCTGGCTCAGTTTCCTTTGGAGATCTGACCTTGAACCTCGACCTGGATCGTCGTGGTATTGCCTTGTCCACGGAACCTCCCGTGGATCAGTCCCTACTGGCAATTCAAATAGGAGGCATTGTTGGAGCATACGTGATCTTCGTTGCCATACTTTTGACTCTGTTGCTCTTTGTGGGACGACGACTGCGAAGAGCGGTACAAGCATCGAACTACACTCTACAGGTTGAGATGATGAAACCTACCAAACAAGCCGTTAGCATGGATCCCAGTCCTGTCACCCCAATCTCAGCTCATCTTCCAAGTCCAACCAGACAAAACGGCTTCAGCAGCTCCTGGGGCAGTTTGGCTAATGGTCCAAGATCCCACGTATCTGGTAATGGCAGCGTGGCTACGATTGATGAATCAGTGGTTGCCACCACACGGCGCAGGGCTCAAGAGGAAATGGAAATGCTCTATGCTGCAGTCATGGAGCATGATGCACAGAGGGCGGCCGGGATAGATACCTCGAAGCCAGAATGGGAAGTTCAATCGCCAGACAGTGTGCATACCAATCCGTTCACAGATCGTTCCTCGCGGATATCGGAGAGGCCCTCGATCTCACAGATGAAGCCCCCCATGAGCCCGAAGAGCTCGAGGCTGTCGAAGATATCGTCCCTATCCTTGTTCAATTCAAACTCGCGTCCACAGTCAAAAGCGGGCAAGCTTCGTTCTCCTCGGCTGCCTCTAGCCAAATTTTCCATCTCCTCCCCTGTGGGCTCTCCCGATTTAACCGCGACGACCTCTTATGGCGAGGACCAAATGCCGTTGACTCCTCGCCTCTACAACCCTGCTCCTCCTCCAGCACCCCCAATAACAATTAGTCAGGCGTCTAGTCAAGTGTCTCTAGGAAAGCCGCCTGGACGAGCCCCTGCCCCAGCTCCACTGAGCCTATCTACAGCGAGCCACGGCTCGTCTTCTCTCCCGTTCCGTGACGCATTTCCCTTGCAGAGTGCTCCTCCGACCAAGACGACGGTCCTAGAACGTCCTTTAAAACCACTAAATGGCCCTCGGACCGGGTTGCCGACACCTTACAGTCCATATATGCCTTTCACCCCTGTGACTCCGCTCACACCCAGTCGTATCGTGACCAAGCGACAGCGGAAACGAGAGACTAGGGAGAACGGCTTGCGGGTCTTGAACGAGGATGATATAGTCAAGGACGACGGGGATATGTGGGGATACTGATCAGATGGCCTGGTTCCAGTCTTGTTGGTGTTTTTGGCAATATTTTGTGGTGCTCCGATAGTCCTATAGCGGACGGTCATGCAGATTAGATAGGTATGCCTCACTGAGATAGGATCTGGCGTCTTTGCTTTGGTTATCTGGACTTTATCAATTGGGGGGCGCAATCTGATTGAAAGAAAGGAATTTTGTATTTGCACCATATGAATCGACATGATTTCGTGCCTTGTGGGCAGTCAGCATTTGAGGATGGTATTTCACATGTGGTTGATGTAAGAGTGTATATGCATATGCAGGTATCTTAAAGAGATCGATCAAGAGATATTTAATAATTGATGCTCATAGTTTCACTTATGCGATAATCATGTATGGAACAAAGATAATCGAGTCATCATGTCTCAAAAGTAAAAAGCCATGATTCACAAGTAAACAAAGCCATCCAGCCCCGCCTATCTCCAAAGTCCGAGCTGAGCCAAGACTCGACCGTCGTCATCTGTTTTGGATAACGCGCTCCGACAGGAGAATCTCCGACCGGTTGCGGGCTTACAGAGTACAGACTCTGGATCCCACCCAAATGCGGGTCACAGGATGCGCACATAGTCCATCATGGATTGTCTTGCGTATCTTTTGCGTGATTATTTAATGTGGCCGTACCAGACTTTTGAGTGTCTATTTATTTTGGCTGCCGAGAAAATTGAGAAGCTTTGCCCGACAACTGGTCATCTAGGCGGGCGCTCACTTCGTATCACTCAGCGTTCTTTTCTTCCTTCTATTATTCGTATCGCGCTCTTAGTCTTCACGGGTGCTGCTAGACTCTTCTCCTAGTCAGTCTACTCGATTAACATCTCCTTATGCCGCTGACCATCCTCTCCCAAGCGCAGCTCCTCTCGCTGCTGCTATCACTGAACCGCGATGAGGTGTCCTCGCTACAACAAAGCCTTGCCCAGGCACTACTAGACTACTCGACCGGAAGCCAGGAACAGGGTTGTGCCGCTACCTACCAACCTCTCAGAACCGCTATCACCCGGCAGAATGGCTGCACGACACTGTTTATGCCCGCCAGTACCGGCCGAACGATCGGCATGAAGATGATTTCTCTACAAGATGGGGGTGCTGCAGGGTGTGCTGTGGAAGGGGCTTTTGAAATCCCCGAGGGAATGAAGACTGCTTCAAGATCGCGGGCGGGCCCAAGGAGCTCCATGACGTCGCTGTCGTCTGAGATGAGTGATCTGTCTATATCATCACAGGAAGGCGGATCGTCGAGTTCATCTAGCAGCAGATCGCTCAAGTCTGGCACGGTGAATCGTCAATCAGTTGGCTCCAGCATGTCCAAGACGCTAGGTGCGTGGCCCGGGGCCGGTGCTCGAGACACCTCACCGCAGGGCGCGGTGACGTTGCTGGACGCCGACAGCATGCCATTCGGGCTGATCAATGCTCACGAACTCACGCCGTTCCGGACGGCCCTTACCACGATGATGATTTTCAAGAAGCGCAAGAGAGTGCGCACTGTGGTGGTTTTCGGGGCGGGTAAACAGGCTTATTGGCACATTCGGTTGGCTCTCACGCTGCGTGCGGCGGATATCAAGCGGGTCGTTATCGTCAATCGATCGTTTGAGCGGGCAGCCAGGCTTCTCAAGGATATCTACTCTCCTGAAAACTCCAGCTGGCGCGGTGATGTGAAGTTCTCCGCCGTCAGTAATGATTTCGGCGAGTACGACCGTATCATCCACGATGCTATCCATAAAGCGGACGTGATCTTCTGCTGCACCCCGTCGATCGAGCCGCTTTTTCCCGCTGAGCTTCTCACCTCCCGCGAAGGTCGCCAAAAGGGTCGATTCATCAGCGCCATTGGGTCGTACAAACCTCACATGACCGAGCTGCATCCAGATATTCTGCGCGACGAGGTGAACGTGCACCACTCTGGTCGGCATTTCCACAAACATATCAAACGCAGTGGCGTCGTGGTAGTCGACAGTCTCGAAGCTGCTCTGAAGGAGGCCGGTGAATTGATCCAGGCGGGCATCAAGCCGAACCAGGTTGTCGAGCTGGGAGAGCTCCTGATGGTGCGGGACGCATCGCGGAAGGACAGCAACAATCAGGACGGTGAAGACACCAAGAGCCTGCGCGAGTGGGTTGAGCGAGGCAATGTCATCTACAAGAGCGTAGGCCTGGGCTTGATGGACTTGGTGACCGGAGGCGATCTTGTCCAGATGGCCCGGGCAAGAAATGTGGGAACCACCGTGGAGGACTTTTAGACTCTATGATCTTCAAGTGTCGAAACTTTGCTGTATTTTACCGGACCAGGCTGGGTTGTTTCGCTTTCTATACCCTTCAATCGATTTGACTCTACAGCTGCAAGCATCAGGCGATCTACGTACTTGGCGAACCTCCGCCACAGAGTATGACATCAAGGGAAGCTCATCAATCATCTTTGGGACTGATAGTAGAACAACAGACGCAATAATCAATGCTCACGAAGATCAAATAAATTCAATGACTCAGACGACATGAATTTCTTCTATAAGATGGTTAGATAGAGATAGCCTGAGTAAACATCCCGTGGGCGATAAGATCGATAACGGGCGGGCCCCCCCTTCGTCATCGATGAGGGGCAAGAAAGGAAAATCATCCCACTTTGTCAGTCAGGTCATGAATTTTCGCCCTCGTCTCCAAATTCTTTTAACTTTTCTCCTCATGTTGACCTGATCCTCTGAGCCCTGCCTCTTTTCGTCTGCCTCTCCTCGAACCAATAGACCGTCCGCTCTCACCATGCGTAACACTATCTGTCGTTTACCCAACGGCCAAAGCTACACGGTGACCCCCGTATTTGGCGGCGTCAACTTCAAGTCCAATGACATGCACTTGAAAAACTCCATAATTCCTCCCGGGTGGACAATTGTTCTCTATACCAATCAGAACACTGATCAGCCGATGCAGGATACCGTGCTCCCGGAAGAAGAGCGCGGTCGCGCTCGTCATGCACAGGGAGAGGCAGAGGAGAAGCCACGCACCGCTCGCTTCACAATACCAACATTGACCGATGACTGTTTCTACATCTCGTTTGTCGTCAATCCGCCCAGTAGTGACTTCAAGCCTCCCACCTCTCCGACTCGTCAGATTGCGATGATGATCTGGGTGAGCCTCTACTGGTACTTCCACGAGCCCGAGCCAGACCTGCACCTGCAGACGGACGCTGCATCTCGTACGCCGCTCACGGGCAAACCGAAGGGAGAATGGCGCATTAATCTCAAGAGAGAGGGGATCTTCAAGGGACGCAACCTGCTGCAGAAGCTGGAGCGCATGGGACTCATTGCATCGGAGGAATCTTCCGTTGGTCTTGAGCCGAGCGAGACGCGAGGGTCTGGGGCCTGGTCACGTATGTTCGTGAGCCGACGCAGTTTCTGGCAGATCGACCCCCGTCTTTTCGTCTTCACCCTGAGCCCCACAAACCCACTGCAATCTGCTCCGTCATCGCCTTTTCTCTCTCCCAGATTTGCGTCGCCATCACGCGAGAGCCCGCTGCTAGCCGAACCTACAGCTTCCTCTGCGGGGAAAGACTTCCCTCTACATTTGCCGAATGAGGGCCCGTTTGCTTCTAGCAGTCATCTTCCAACATACTTTCCTCCGCCGCCAACCCAGTACACGTTCACAAATGGGCTGCGGCACCCCGTCAGACCTAAGCCGCCCCATCAGGGAGAAGTGTTCTACATCCGGTACATTCCCAGCGTCGGACAGTACCTATCATTCCGCGTGCCGACTCTACCCACGTCTGGATCGATGCCAAATCTGGGCCATGGTCATAGTCCCTCAACGAGCAGCATTGAGCTACCGCCTCAGAATACACCGTCTGACCTAGATCTGCTGCACAGGTGGATGAATGACCCTCGCGTGAATGCAGCTTGGGGAGAGGGCGGTCCCATATCAAAACAAGAGGCATTTCTTCGCAATAATCTCACTAGCCGTCACAGCTTTCCCGTCATTGGATGCTGGGACGGCAAGCCATTTGGGTACTTTGAAATCTACTGGGTCAAGGAGGATCGCTTGGGACCACTTATCGGAGGGGCAGACAATTACGACCGGGGCATTCATTTACTGGTGGGAGAGCAGGAATACCGTGGAGCACACCGGGTCGCCATCTGGCTCAGTGCATTGGTCCATTACTGCTGGCTTGCGGATCTGCGGACGCAGACAGTCATGCTGGAGCCACGGGTGGACAATGAGAAGTAAGCTTTCATCCTATTTTTTTGAGCTGCAAAGATTTGCTGACATGCAACAGGGTCATTCAATACCTTCAAGATGCGGGATTCTACAAAGAAGGAGAGGTTACTTTCCCACACAAACAGTCAGCTTTGATGAAGATCAAACGCGACTCTTGGGAGAGCCCGGTTCTATAGACAGCCTGGACCTGCTTTTTTTTTTTTTCTTTCATTCGTCAATTCATATTTGTTGGTCTTTGTATATACCCCGGCATCTTAACAGCATATTTGGCATGGCGTGGGCCTGTTTGCTTTTAGTCTTGCATCACGCATATGCCTTTGCTTCATGCATAAAGGGATTACAACAGCAGTGAATGCTATGGTCAGCTACATTTTGTATTCACTTCTGGTTGCAAATTCAGAAATTCCACCGCATATAAACCCCCTCACCTTCTCCAATCTGAATCTTTTCCTATGGCTTATTCACTCTATAGATAGCGATGGCCTATTTCAGTCTATTCACCAAATGAGATGACCGTGTTTTCCTTCTTACCTTCATACTTGTACCACCACTCCTCCATCGTTTCTTCTTCCACTGCCACCAAAATCTTCAGGATGGGATAATTCCACTACATTATTCTCCTGTTACCGCTACAAGGCCACATTTTGAATACGAGTATTGATTCTATGATATTGCCAGTTATCAAATTTGTTCAGGGCCCATACAGTGGTTCCCGGAAGCAGGCAGACGGCGTGATCGAACCTGTCGGCCAGTCCCTCCCCACCGTCGCCTTTGAGTCTGGTTGGACAGTCGCGAAACCGCTTGAGAGACGATATGAACTTGTGGCTTGTCGGCGGCAATGGTGCCGTCAAGGCAGTCCTCTTACTGCTCGATTATTGTTCGTACAAATTCGCGGACTACTAGAGTCCCTTCCGTTCGCTACTCGTGTTCGCTTGATCCAACTGCTTGGTTATCATTCCCTTTCCTCCGAGCCGAACATGCACATCCCCGACCGAGGTTGGGACAAACACCGTCAGGGGAGACGCAGAATACTACACCCTGGCCCGTTCAGGAACGTCTCAACTACGACCCCGGAGCTGGCCATGGAGACCTTGAAACCCCATGGACAGACTCAGTGTCTATGTCGAGTGAAATCCATATATGTCCACTCGCTCCTTGTTCGAGGTCAAGCTAAGTGGTAGTGAGAAACATCGATATTCACCATCACTTGTTCAGTAGCACGCGCGCCTCAATGCAAAACCTGACAAAGACATTACACCATTCTACGTCAACTGCGTACCTATCTCAAAGATATGCAGATGCCGCCTCACTTGAAATCAGCGACGTCTGTCCTGCTTATCTTGTGAGCAAGCCGTGTTTGTGCCCAATATGTCATATGACAAAGTGTTGCGGGCATGATGCGCAAGTATGCGTTCCAGGGACCGGTGCCCCGAGTGAGCTGTTGCCCGTATGCTCAAGCAATCCTCTTCACCTGCCCGTCCGGTGTCGTGTGTATCTGACTACCTTCGTCGTCATACGCCCTTCTTAGCCGTTCAAGCACAGAGAAGTAACTATGTACTTACGCATTCGAGTACGCAAGAGCAGGCGAAAATCGGCCCTGAGTCTCTATAGCGCCGTTTTGAATAGAGACTGCTGGAACTGCTCATGCAAATACCAACGTTCTGTTCGTTTTGCTCTCGATCCTTCACTACTGGACATGCTCGGAACGCCACACGAGTCTTCATAGCATACATTTCGCATGACCGCGATCCTCGAGGTCCCGCCACCAAAGTCGCCTTCAAAGCCAAAATGTCAGAAGCTGAGAAGAATGCACTGGCAACACAAGGCAATGCCCTGTGGATCTTGTTCGAGCGAAGCGTCACGGGCAGACTCAGCCGGTGTTTTGGTGGTATGCTTCATGACGCCAGTTGTTGGAATAAGATACCACTATGATTATGGATATGAAGCCCTAGACTGACGAGTACATCGTCCGGACACCTTTTTAGCCTAGTGGTATTATATTTCTATACCAGTCAAGGGTCTTGCTAAGACGCTTGAAATCGGGCAGACGAAGAAAGTGGAGCGGCCATTCACGAAAGACGGCTGGGTGGAGGTTGAGGAGGTGGCCAAGACCGCGGCAAAGACTGCTGCGCGAACGAAGGGAGCCTGGGTGACAGTGGAGAACTGATGGGGCGCAGAGGTCGCCAAGCATCTAACTCGTGTCCACACTGGACACCACTATGCAAGGAATGTGGCCTCACTGGCGCAGAACATGCAGTGGGACACGGCAGTCCGCAGGGCCAACCGGTATGCTTATGAGCGCATCACACATATCAAGAGAGGTTCGCGGGGGGGTGCACAAATCATACCGTGCGTACAGTGAATTTCTGATAGACAGGATTGGGTCAAGCGGCACCCTCTGTGGTCCCTTTTGTGTCTGCATGCAGTGCGAACTATGTTCGTGGAGTGAACTTGACTAAGCGATCCTTTACAACTGCCTTTGGGTTCCCTTTTTTAACAAATTATCAGCTCCAAAATGTCGTCCTCAGCCGAGCGAGGGCTGGTCTCGTCATTTCGGATACTCGACGTGTACTCATTCTGAGTTCCCGGCAGGAATGACGGGCGTGATCGAATTCTGAATGGTGGAATCTGATTCGTTGTATGAGTGAGTCTGCTCTTGAACATAACAGCAATTGTGTCCTCACGATGAGCGTCTTGAAAAGTCTCATTGTCCCAGGACATGAGGGTAGGCCACCAGAAGTCTTACCTTAGCTGCATTCTGATGTCTGCGCAGGACTTCCCGCATACTCCGTATGTGGACAAGCCTGGACGCTCAAGACTCGACTGTTGCGGGTGTGTCGTCGCCAATTGACAATGGCGAATCTGCAAATGAGATGTCTGGAGTCATCTTTGATAACCGCCAGGCAGGCGCTGGGGGCTGTTTGCCTCTTTCAGAACCTAGACGACTCCACCGTGTCGGAGCTGCCACAGGGACCGCCCGTACGCGAAACAACCTGACGCAACATGGGTGCCAATCTTTAGCAACAGAAGAAGAGCAACGCCACCGGTCGTCCTTGAGATTGGACGCTCAGAATCACTGCATTGCCTGTTCTTGCTGATCAAAGAACATTCACAACTTTTGGTGTCCTTTGAGCTTGCACGTTATCACAACTCGCGCAGTACATGGACGACAACAGTGTCGGCTCGGGCTCTTCTTCGACTTAGGGATCACTTGGTTTGTCGCTACTCTCATATTTAACTTGCGTACACCTCGACGCTGACGGGATGACAGGCATTGTCTAGTTTCCATGCCCTGCTGGTGGCTAACGTGGCACAACTCTTTCATGAGATGGTCAATGGCCTAACTCTAAGAACTTCTCTAAGGATAAGTCTCGATCCACTCCACCAAGCCAGATCAATTTGGTAAGATAGTCCTTGGATCAGTTCGGGCGCTGCTCCGTGGTGTACTAGCTCACCTTCGAAATCCCGAGATTTAGGGACTTGACTGAAAGCTTGAAGTCCTTTGCCCTTGTGGATACAGTCGGCATGTGAAATACAAAGATGATGTGATTGCATCGTAGCTTGTGGACATATTGGCCGAGCCTGTGACCATACCCTGAGAGCTGTCCATCTGTACAATCTGTCCATTGACAGAGAACATGTCGGTTAAAGAAATGTGGGACGTGAAGCTTACGCTAGGTGAGTAAATTCACTTTGCAGCCTGCGCTTTAGGGTACTCCTAGAGCTAACTTGTCTGTGGAACATATGTTCTCTTATCACTTATTCCCTCCCCTCGTTTCTTCGTTGTGCCCATCAAGTACGAGTTACAACCAGTCAGAATAGCAGTATCAAGGGCTGCTAGCCCGTCGCCTGGCCGTCATGGACTAGTCACGGACCAGGGTAACTCGGCCAATATAACAGCAAAGATGCAGTGATCCATGGCCCTTGGACTTACGAACCATACTCGCCTGAAAATAGTTCATTTCCTAGGAAGCTCTCCTCTCAGCGAGTTCTCACACTTGCGATCAGGTCCCTCACTCCGAGCGCAGGTAAATCTCAATCACCTCGTGAATGGTACAATCTCATGCATGATTCCTGATTTCAATTGGCTTTAAGCGAACCCATGCAGCAACCTGATAGATGGTCTAGGTGATGGAGTCAAGGGAAAGGCCTTTCAAAGAGGTAGAAGAGAAGTGATGGTGAAATAGCAGCAACCACTAGCAGTCCCTAGCATGGAGACAGCAGCAATAGTGATTCAAAGAGCACAGGAGCACGGAGCCCAGGAAACACAGCCAATGGAGGAAACCCAGCTAATGCAGCCAACACAATTCGGTCTACACTAAGCGAGGAATGAAGAATCCAGGACCTCAACAGTTTACCGCAGGGAACGCATATTCCGATACCTCGCGGCCACTGCATCTCTGTCCCTCTTCTTCCCTGCTTCCTGCGGTGTATTGAGCTCGCTGATAGTCGAAGCACCAGTTCCTTGGAGTGAGCCGTTGCCATGTGGAAGAACTTTGACACAGATGACAATGGATGCACCCTCGGAACTGCAAGGTCGAATTGAGACTTTGTCTTGAAGAAGTCAATTGGCAGCAACAACAGAACAGATGCAAGCCAGAGTCTAAGGATATCCAGGGAGTCAGATACTTCACAACCACAAGATATGGCCAGCACTCCTGTTTCCTGGGATGCCTAGAAACTAAGTTGGATACTAATCTCTCAATGTTACGGATTGGATACATCACTGCACTTATTGCCATTGCTGTGATGTGAACGCATTCTTAACACTGCGTATAGAAAACGCCTCGCAAAAACGCTTCTGCTCGCCGTGCCACCCGTGGCCGGCGGGGCGGTGCCCTTGCTGTTCAAGTGCCGCCCCCTCCGCGCACCGTCGCTCGCCCTGTTGCGCCTGCGTTGTTCTGCTATCAGTGCCTTCAAGCACCGACATACCGCGCAACAGGGGTGCTCCCTCCCTGCTCGGGATACTCCCCGACAGAGGGGAAGTGCTCCCGTTGCGCGGGGATGCACCAGTCTTGTCTTTCAGTGCGTTGGTTTTCCGCGTTTCTTGCTCGACGCATCTGCTAACTTTGCTCTCTGGCAGTTCCCTGCTGCAGCTCTGCCGCTGGCATACCGCGTTGTGCTCTTGTCCTGTGCCGCCGATCGCGCCCCCGCCACCACCAAGGCTGCGTCCCTAGCGGCCGTCGTCGCCGCGGCCCGGGCCTTCAAAGCTCGGGTCCGCGCTGACGGCGGCCCGCTGCCCCGTGGGAGTGCTCCGGCCCCGGCCCCTGCAACGCCTGTGGCTGCATCTGCTCCTGCCGGCTTCTTTTTGGCTCTGTTGGCCGTGTTTCTTCGCGGGTTCCGGCGACGAGGAGGATTCTGAACTTGCATATTGGGCGGAGATGGCCTCGAAGCTTGATGGTCTCTAGGTCTTGTGTGTTTCGTTGATCTATTTCGCTTTGCCCGAGGAAGCTGATGACGGACAGGACGCGACCTAGTCGCTGATCCATGAAGCAGAGGGCATTGACATAGAGTAGTTGCTTCGATCTTCCCGACATACGGCGTTATGGTTCCTGTTTCTTTTTGTCTTTAGTTTTATCATTTCGCCGGGTAAGTCTGCGTCTTTTGCTCGGGTAGTCTGTGACTAATTGTGATACAGAATCTAGGCGCTCCCCCCCCCCGGGGTTGAGCTTGTGTTTGTTTGTTCGTCTTTTGCGCCTTTGCTGCGCGGCCTTCGGGCAAGTTTCTCATTCGACGCGTGGTGGACAGAGACATGACAGCTATCCGACCTATGAACTTAGCTTCGCCAATTCGGGGCGAACTAGAAATCAATACGTACCGCCGACGGCGTCGCTCCAGTTCTTCCTGGGTGCCGTAAAGGCGTCCTCCGTACGCTACTACGGGGATGAGACGGATGTGGTCCATGGTCTCCCACATCTCGAGGAGATCAACGAATCATTCCCGCTAGTCCTTGAGACTCTGCATGGATGCGGCCACAGTACCTGGTCGATACTCTTCACAAGCGGAAGTGCATCTCAATACCATACCAGCTCTTCATTGATGGGTTTGGCCTATACCGGAACATGTACCGTGGCGTACCATGTTTCTGGGCCATAGCTGCATTTGCGACTGGTACTCAGAATCAGTGCCAATGCCGATGATACACTCTAATACTTTTGTGTCTACTCACATCTCGGAACATGTCGAGCCATTCCCACAACGGCACCCGTTCTCAGTACGTTGTGAACTGTCCTCAGAAGAAGAGGCACTTTACTAGAAGCCCAATCATGTGCAGCTCCCGGCCGGCCGCTCTAATCGATGGCCCTCAGTACTGATAGAGAGCGCCTCCTCGGAAATCCATAGCAAACTGGCCAGCGATGCCCGGTGGTGGTTGAATGCTTCTGAGGGAGAAGTACAAACTATCGGACTGTCCTCACCATTTCTGTGCAGAAGAGAAAGAAAGCAATCACTATTGAGAAGTGGGTGTCAATCAGCCGTCCGACACGAGGAGATCCAGTGAAAAAGGTACCTGAGGTGATTCAGAAGGTGGTTATGTCCAAGGGAAGCGATGATGCGCCAGTCCATATCACTGAAGCTCCCCTGGTAGTGCATGGAGCTCTAGAACAACTAAACCAGCATTCTACTATGCCGCAACCTTAGGCTCTTAGCCAACTTCGCTACATTCCGCCATGCTAGATTAAAGAAGCATTTCAACGTAGGAAGCGAAACGGGCGTCCAGGCCAGGTATGTGGACCCCAGGACACTGAAGGATTTGGACCCAACTGGGCTGTCATCACCTCTATGTCGGACATTAAGGAGCACGTCTCTTTGCGCACTACACGAAGAGACGCCCAGGGTCAGCCCATGGGACCTTGTGGCATATCGGCCAGGAACATGCCACTGCCAATTTGGTTAAGGGGACCGGCCAGCCATTTACTCTGGATGTATGCTATGATAGTGGCTGCGCCAGTATGGCCATGCCCCTCTCTGACCTGGATTTAATGATTTCCAGGCACGAATGGAAAAGGGCACTGTCCCAGTACTATGGGACTTTGTACTCCATAGAGAAGCACGAAGAAATCGAAATCTCGAACGCCAGGTAAGTTACATTGTCAAATCATATCTACATATATTCCTTGCTGATTGTGCTCATGTTGTGTTCAGGATCAACTACAACAGCGTAACAGAGACGTTGTTGATCAGAATAATGCCGACATTTCTCCTGGTCTATATTGACGACATCATCATATACAGCCGGGACAAAGACCTGATCAAGGTGATCCTCGCCCTACTCCAACAGTCCAGCATCGCCCTGTCCTTCATCAAATGTCACTTTGTATACCCATCAGTCAAGATGCTCGGACACCACGTCTCACGTCTGCGGATCAGCACCGCCGAAGATACACGTCCTCACCGGCCATGACTGTCATTCACCGCCAGGGCCACCTGCATCATGCGCCTCCTGTGCCATCTGTCATTCAGCCCGACCCTCGACGACTACTCCCGTGTGGCGGACGACGAGGCGGATACAATGGCGGCTGCCATCGCAGAAAGTGTCGACCGTGGCGACCGGGGTTCTCTGACTTCTGGTGGAGGACGACGACTGACTATCGGAACATGATGCCCTTAACCACGACATATCCGCAGGATGTGGGTTGGGCCTGGTGGCGACGAGTAGTAACAAACAGATCTGTGACTGTGAGGGCCACTAGGATGATAAAAGCCTTATATTTTGGCCACTTACTGGCGAGATTGTTAGTTATTACTCCAGACTATTCTTTACTAGGTAGTATTTAATAGTTCCGACGCTCAGCCCAGTGATGGTTGGTATACCTGGAAATGGTAATACCAGTTCTGACTAAACTCCTCCTCCGCAGACCAAGAAGAATGGGGCAAATACCAAAAAATTAGGTCGATTGCAATTGTTGAGCTCCATGGCTTCGACACCAGACGCAACGGACTTTTTCCAGCAGCTCACAGCACGCATCGCTGCTGCTGAGATGTATGATGATCCACTGAGCATCGAATGATGGGTTTTGTCAACCCGAGGCTTATGGGTTGACAGAATAGCTGTGACCGTTGCCCTTGGCGGGTTTTCGCTGGTTCTGTTCTTATGATGATGCAGCGACAGCGGTATCACGGACCGGTCTCTCAGCCATAGAGCCCGCAATGCGAGTGAGGTTTGTTAATTTTTGATGACAATGCCCTCCAAGACAGCCTACACACCGGCCGTGAAGTTATGGGGTTTTCAGGCGTCAGTGCAAAGGAATTTGAATTCCTTATGTCCGATCGCCATAGACCCCTGAAGTCCGCCAAATTCTCATACAACTTTCTGACCAGGCTCTTGATGATCAAGATGCCCGGATTGCAGATGAGACTCTCACGAGCTTGTTCAAAGCTACAGTTGACAAACAACTTTTCGCAATGAATCCCATTCCCGATCGTCGGGGCGCAATCGATGGCGTGCAGCGTATTGCCAAGTTCCCGATAACAAAGAGGGGAGCCCGTGCATCCAGTTGCTGGACCCGGTGCGGGAGCTAGAGTGACATGCTACTAGATAGGTTATCCTCATCTCTGTCGAAAGGCGGGCGTTCAAAATCATCTTTGAGAAGTGGGTTCCTAGCATTGCCATTTCGACCAACGGCACCAGCCAGTCTTTACGCAATCATGGCCTTTCTGCGTTGCGTGAACAGGAGATTGTCGTAACGAGAAATCGAAACAGTCACGCAGAAGTCAACGGTGGCCCTCTTATCATCAGGTTCGAGGAAATATTTTTGCGCGACCAGATGGGATAACGGTGATCGCAAATTAGGTAGAGCCTTCGAATAGTGCGAGGGTTCGATGGATATATTCCACGTGCCTCACCCCTGACTGTTTTAGGTAACTGGGCAAAGGAACCAGATGCACGGATCTAAAACATGTTATACATGAAGATGGAAGGTGAACGAATTGCATGTTCTGCAGTCGTAATATAGTACAGGTATCTGAACAGAAAAGTATCATACAGCCATTCTCAAAGTCGCTCAATCGATAGTCCTCGGAAGACCATCATGACGACGGGTTACGGCCCGAAGATTCCCAAAAGGAAGGACATCTCCGATCCTCTTAGCGCCCGTGAAGAGCATACAGAGGCGATCGATGCCACAGCCCCAGCCACCGGTAGAAGGTAGACCCCACTCCAAAGCTTCAAGGTAGCTCTCATCAACCTCCGCCGGCTCATCTGTGCCCTTATTGTAGCGTACTTGATCCTCGAATTTCCGTCTTTGCTCAAAGGGAGAGTTCTCCTCTTCATAGGTGTTAACGATCTCTCGTCCGTCGATGAAGAGCTCCGCGCGCGCCGCGACACGCTGCTGATTGGCGGGGTGGATGAAGGACTTTGACAGTGGGGAGAGACACTCAGGAGGGTTCATGATGAAGGTCGGGTTGATGCATTCGGGTTCAATGTAGGTGCTGCAGAGCTCGTCCAGGAGACGGGGGAGAGTGGCGTGCTCGGGAATAGTGAGGGAAAGGTCTTTGAACAGCTGCTTGACTTGGTCTAGGGCATCTGGGGTGGTGAGGTCGGGGAGTTTGCGACCGATCTTGCCTTCAATGCCGGTGGTAAAGTCTATTCGATGGAAGGGAGCCGAGAAGTCGACCGTTGGGGGGTTCAGACTGGCGTTCTTGTTGAACTTCTGAATATGTGCCGCCATGCCTGATAGGAGGTTCTCCGTGATGGACATTAGATCTTCCAGGTTGGCGTATGCATGGTAGAATTCACATGTTGTAAATTCAGGATTATGCGTTTTGTCCAGCCCTGTCCCGACATGTCAGTCACTTATTTCAAAACTTCGAACCACGATCAAGCATCCATCTTGACTTACCTTCATTCCGAAACGATGGGCCGATCTCGAACACTTTGTCAAATCCGCCGACCACTAAGCGCTTCAGCCATAGCTCTGGCGCGATTCTCAGACACAGCTGCCTATCGGGAAACTCGGTGGCAGACGTTTGAAACGGACGGGCCATCGCTCCACCGGCTACCGAGCCAATGATGGGAGTGCTGACCTCCATAAACGATCTGTCGAGAAAGAACTGGCGCAGAAATTGAATGATAGCTGATCGCGCTCGGATGATATCTGCCGCCTTCTTGTCGGCAAGGAACTGGACATGGCGAGGGTAGGGAGATGTCTCATGCTCCTCGGCGTCGACGGGGACATCGTGCAGGCAAGGCGATAGCAGCCGAGGAAGCTCAGTTGCAAGAACAGTGAGCTCCCCGGTTCCTGTGCGGTGAGGTTTCCCTGTTACGGCTATGGAAGATCGTTCAGTCTCGGGTAGTGATACTGGAGATGGCTATATGGCACGACATACAGAAAGCATCGCCGCGACGAAGGAGGCGGTAGAATCTCTTGAAAGCATCGGGAGCTACTCCGTCCAGTTTGCGAAGGTTGCACATAATTTGGACCTTGTGCCCATCCTGGAAGATATCGAAGAATATCAATTTGCTCCCGGCCAGTCTATAGGCACGTATTCTTCCTACAAATCTAAGTACAGAGGACAACCGAGTAGGGCCAGAACAGGCGGCAACCTACCATTAACAACGACAGTGTCATCTTCTACTGTTTGATTGCTTGTAAGGTGGCTATATCGATCACGAAATGCCGCACAGCTCAGCGACCGGTTGTCACTTGGGAGACGGGGATATGGGTCAGCGCAAGCATTTTTGACCTCCTCAAGCCGGTGTCTGAATGCTTTATCGGGGGAGGCTGCGCTGCTGCTATGCCTTGTACGTATAGATGATGCTGAGACCGGTTTGATTGTTCCAAGTAAACTATCTGCTATGTGAGAAGTACGATTGTTACTGGAAGTAAACGGCAGTCCTGCACTGAAAGTTTGCTCGAATTAGCCGATCAACCCAAGTAATACAATTTCTCCTCGGAAAATAAAAATATGAATGGGCCATTGAATCAGGTAAAAAAATGACTCCGGTGCGATCAATTGCTTGAAACAAGCATCATCTGCAGCGGTTCTGGTAAGGAATGTTTGTCTCATCATTCAATTGATGGGAACATAATCGAAAAAGAAGAAAATAAGCTTCTTACCTAAATCGAGAACTCTTCGAGCACAATTGTGAAGCCCACCGGGGGCGAATTGAGTGCATTTTATAGAGAAAAGCTACACAGTCACATCATGTTAAAGATGGAAAAAAGAGAAGAAAATTGCAATGGACACGAGAAGGTCAAAGAATTTATGGAAGGCGGTGGGAACAGACGGTCTTAGCTCCCGGCCTCATAGCAGGAAACTCCGTCCGGACCGCAATATCATATCTCATCGGTTTCAATTATTTGAGCTACCTTTCATCACCAGACTCAACTTTCTACATAGTCAGTAAACAAGCTTGCCTCCTGGTCGGACAGCTATTGGTGATTGCTAACCGCTTCTCAGATACCTGATCACATAACTCGGTCAAGCTCCCTCCCATAAAATACCATCATCATGTCTTTCCTCTTCGGCGGTCCCCCCAAGATGTCCTCGGCAGAGAAGATCGCTGCCGCAGAGACAGAGGTCGAGATGGTCTCCGATATGTTCAACCGGTAAGACGCATCAGTCTCCTCCTTACCTCTACTAGCGCCCGAGACAGGATCCTGCCTTACTCTCCTCCCGCATTTCATACCCCAACTAACGTTATACTCAATCTCAGTCTCACCGAGTCCTGCTACAAGAAGTGCATTCCCAACGACTACCGCGAAGGCGACCTGAACAAGGGCGAGTCAGTCTGCCTCGACCGCTGTGTCTCCAAGTTCTTCGAAGTCAACATCAAGGTCAGTGAGAAGATGCAGGGCGAGGCGGCCCAGAAGCAGGGCGGTGCTGGATTCGGCATGTAAGAAAAATACGCAGGCATTACTCGCTAGTCTTCTCTAGAAGGGCATGTTGCACGCATCGACATGATTTAGGAATCGATGTTCTTACAACCTCGTCCTGTGTTGCCGGTGAGGTCATACTTTCATGCTGGGCGTGGATTCTCTCAACGTTTTGCTTGCTTGCGATCGCATGGATTCAGGATGGTATCCATCGTGACTTCACGATGAAGACTCTTACTCAATAGGGTACGAGAAGTCACTCGGTCCTGGCGGACTTTGTCTATTATGGTGGCACTCTGGACGGGTTCTCGAGCATCACTGTCTTTGTGCCCGACTTTTGCAGTGCGTCTGATATGGACACCGAGCCTCTATTTCACACTATGTACACTAGAATTGGTATATAAAAATACAGGGATATCACGCTTAACACGAAAGGCATGAAAGATCGAGACATATTACTTCGAAGACATTCCAACAAATCTCCCCAACCACGACAACCATGAATTGCTCTGCTTCTCTTCCTCGCTCTTGATCAGTCCTTTCATCCTTGTTTCAAGCTCCAACACATGTCGCTCGAATTCCCCGAGGCCACTCTCCACATCCTCGACTTTGGACTCGAGGACATTGAGCTCATAGTCCAGCTTGGCTCCCATCAACTCGACGCGTTTCATGGTATCAACAAGGTAGGCGTGCTCCTCCGTCAGCAAATCACTGGAGCGTTCCCTCATTTGCTGATATTTCTCAGCCTGGTCTAGGTAGATCGAATTGATCTTCTCGTGTGACTCATAAAGTTTCCGGTTCAATTCATCCACCGAGTTCACCTGTCCTTCCACCCAAGGAACTGTGCGCTGGGTCAGCTCCTCGATTCTGGAGCTAAATATTCGGGCGTCAGAGGCCAGCGTATTCTCAAGAGCAACGGCTTGCTCTAGAGTGGCGTCTGGCTTAGGCTGCAGTGCTTCTCGGCCTCCCAGGCTTTCCCAGCCAAGTACGACGTCTTCAACAATACTGAAGGACAGGTGGCGAGGCCAACCATTGCTTCGACGCTCCGAGTCAGCTGTCGTGGTGAGTTCTATGCAACTCTGCGATCGGCGCAATAACATCAGATCGAATCGAGACGTTTCGTCCTGATTAACAGATGCGTCGGTCGATCGTGTCCTGGAGCGCCCTAGATATGATTCGTCCTCTTGCGGGTGACTTGTCGAGGGTTTTCGTGCTGACTCGGTTTCCTCATTATCTCGCGGAGAATCAACGGTGATTTTCGGAGGTTTCAATTCGGAGACTGTCGGACCACCAGTTCTCGCTGATGGCTCTGCCTTTGCTGCAACAACCTGTGCCTGATCGTGAGGCTCAGGAATGCTTTCCTCATCGGTCAGGTTACCATCAGCCTCTGTTCTTAGCACAGGCATCTCCGTATCGCTTTCGATAGCTGGCATGTAAGCCGCATCACCAACCAACTCTGCCCCGTCTTTCGTCTGCTTGTGGTGCTGAGATCGAAGGCCGGGCAGTCCAACTGCTTCTTTGAACCTGCCAAATCCGATTCGTGCGTCTGACACCTTGCCACTGACACCCCTCCGAACTATGCGACCCAAGTTCTGATCCTTTTCGTCCAGGGCGCTCGCCATTTCAGGCTGCCTCCACGGACGGTCTGAGCCTTGCAAGGATCGGTCACCAGCCAGATCTTCGTGCGAATGGCGTTTCCGGCTTGTCCACACATAGTTGTTCTGTTCATCCTTGGTGAACATCATCTCCGCAGCAGGCGGATCATGAGCGAAGCCATCACCCAGTCCACTCTTACGTGGTTTCCCCCTCCACAGCCACTTTGCTCTCTCACCAGTAATTAGCGATGCAAAATTCTCCAGCTCCAGGGTCTCAATATCAGCAATACCACCCTTTTCCCGGCCCCGTACCATACCCATGACCATCTCACCCCCATGTCCACTCAATTCGGCCATCGTTGACTTTACAGCGTCAGTCCAACCTTCTGCATTTGCCGCCTTTGCAGTTGCCCGGTGAAGCCGATCGAGAGTTTGCCGATCCAGTCTGCGTGTCCGTTCCATCTTCTGCGACTTCTGAAAGCTCTCAATTGCCCTCTTGAGACTGCGTGTATCGAAGGCGTCCTTCCCAACTGGCGCACCAAAGGCGTGAAGTCGATTTCGAGCTCCCATGAACGTGCCCAGCAGAGCAGCTACGGTCGTCGGGCCCAGTACGCCGTCACTTGGTTCTATGTTGTACAAGTCAATCCCAAACTCGGTCCACCAATCGTGGATTGCGGTCTCGGTGACATCGCAAAGCAGGCCGTCCGCGTATTCGGGTGCCAAGAGGCCAAACATTGTGAGCGCAATCTGGCATTGTTTGACGAGCTCTACTACAGCACTATACACGGGTACTCGCTCACTCGTCCGATAGAGTTGGTAAAACTTTGCCACGGTCGCAGGTGCAGGGGGCTGTAGCTTTAAGCCGGCCCGGCCGGCGCAGGAGAGCCGCTTCAGGTTTTCATTCACGATAAAATCCTCCTTGTGTCGGAGTATGTCACCATCGGGGACTGGGATGACGGTGAGCGCAGATGGAAACGAGCTCAGGTCAGTGACCATGACGGTGCCCAGAGGTGTGTCTTTCGTTCGCGCTTGGCATTGTGTGACGGCGTTGAAGTACAGTTTCAAGCGCGGGGACCAGGTGTTTTCGTCCGTTGGCACGCTGAGGACTCCAACCAAGACCTTGTGCGAAGGATCGCCCGTGTAAGTCGTAATCACAAATGTCGGGTGTATCCTTGAACAAGCCCATTGCTCAACAATGTATATCTCGTAACCCTGCAGTATGAGGCGTCGATGCAGCACGATTGTCGCAGGGTCCTCCTCCAGATACCGAAGGGCTACAGGATCGGTGAACACAAGTTTCTGATGACCGTGCGGCGACGATGCCTCCATGAGTCCGTTCGTATGTGAGGAGGGGCTCTCGTGCGCGTTGATTGAATGTTTCGTAGAATCACGTTGGTTCGCCACAGGAGGCGCAGCCTGTGCGTTGGTAACAGCTGGTGGCATTTTGTAAAGCGTGATAGCTATCGCATTAGTGGTAGAAAGTCTGTCATATCCAGAGCTGCTTGCTGCTGTTCTCAGATCAATAATAATTGATGTGACGTGTTCGAAGTCCTGAGACCTAGCTCAGAAATGAGGGGATGAAATGTTGACCCTCCTGGGGTCTCCTAGCTTTGTTGGCCACGTAAGGAAGGAACTTGACATATCCGGAGATCCTGAGCATCTATAATCTCAAAAAGAAAAGTATATAGAACCTCAGCCGTAACATCGTCAGAAGAGCAGCTCAAATGCGGAGCTGGGAGAGTAAGGTAGGGGCCAGAAAGACAGTTGACCGCAACCAAACAGCGACGTCACAGCATTCTGGAAGCGGTGAGTCGGCTACAGACAACGGGTGCCCCTGATACTAAGGTAGGTACCTACTAAGGTAGCTAAACTGCTAAAGTAGAAATTGTGCTGCCTATGAAAATGATAAACATTCTGGAGGAATCGCATCTTTCACTACTCAATACTCCACGCTAAAGAAAAGGATGAGAAGCTCATATTCATCTTGTTTGAACGCAAGAAAAGACAGCCTAGCACCCAGTCCATGAGGCGTGGCGACTGGCCAGCGACGTGTTCAGCCAGTATCGCCGACAAAATATCCATACATATACTCCGTACGCTGTACAAAATCCCAGAGGCCCCGTGTCTTCTAATTCTCGACTCAGGACAGAGATCACTCAGAAACTAGTCGGTAAGTCTCTTCTCCACAGGCCTCCGCAAGGGAAGCAAACAGTGATGAAAAGAAGACCGATGTTCTCGAGCATCTGACAGGCAGAAAACTCGCAAACTGACACCAAGAACAATTGGAGTCAGGGCAACTTTTTTTTTTTTCAAAAATTCCCAGCCGATCCGAAGACCGGCTGAAGCGGTCAACTAGGTAGTTTTCAACTAGCAAAAACACGGTCTCGGATGTCTCCTCACTGACACGTGTAAAACCCGTGCACCAGGATGGAGAAGAAAAGAAAAAAAAGTCTAAAGAGAAGGGAGAGCAGCCAGGTTATATACCTCTGCCAAGACCCACCACTTGCGCTAGCGCAAGCGAGGCTTTTCCCTTAATTGGCAGCGAATATGATTGGCTGTATTACTTCCCTGTCCTTGGTTACCAAGCATTTTATGTAAGCAATAGAATATTCACGATCATGTACAGAGAAAGGAATTACAATAATGGTAGAGTAGGTGAGGTCTTTGCGACAGAAGACCCCATATGGACTCTAGTTCATGATGGGAATATGTGGAAGAGCGAGCCTTTTCTGCTTTCTCATCCTTGTAAGAAGTTCGAAGTTGTCTTTATTGCTATGCATTACGCCGTTACGGAGTAGATAAAGTGGACTGACTACCACCACTCCGCATGGGGCCATTTTGCATCGGTACGGAGTACTATCTACTTTACTAGTCGGAATATAGGAAATGCTCTAGCGTAGCGTCCATTGTTTCGATGTGAGTCGTAGACTACTCTAATTATTATGAATAAACAGCATCAGTCTCAGATTCACTTGACTCACTTCCTGAACCCCCGCAGCATCATACCAACACCTATCCAGATGATACCTCGAAAGAGGGGTAAAAGAGCATTATTTGACAACACGTGATGTCCCATGTCGTAATGGAACAGTCGGTCGCCGAGAGCTTATCGAAACTCACTCACCTCCACCTCACCTGTCGGTCTTGATTTTTGAGTCTGCCCTCTCAGAGACTGCCCTTAAATCGCCCAAAATCATCAGCTGGGCGCTATCCGAGTCATCCATATGGCTATCGCTATTGTGGTGCTAGAATAGCGGAAATCACCCTACTCCGCTTCAAGCACCATCTCCGAGTCACCCCAGAGCCGCCATGGACCTTGTTCGGAAGGAGCATGAACGGCTCGCTAAGAGGCTTAAGGCTTCTCAGAATATTAAAAATGTGCAAGACACGATCGATCTACTTCAAGCAGCGCGGGACTCGATCGCCTCTGGTTCGTTCCTCTTCCTCCGTCGGTTTCGCGACCCTTTTGATCGCTTGGCGGCGTTCATTGACTGATCATTGTACAGATCCAGATCAAGCATCCATAACCCTAGCAAAGCTCCAGACTTCCGTCAAGTCATCATTCGACTCGATCAATGACAGCCTCAAGGAACACCACAGCGGTCTGAACAAGTACAGCAAAGCACTAGATAAGGTCTTGTCTCCGAGTTATACCAGCACATCTGGTACTCTCAAGCTGACACTGTGTAGCTCTTCAAAGACAAACCACTTCCGAGTACCGAGCACGATGCTTTATCGTCTCAAGAGCATCTCATCAACCGCGCAATTGCGATGCACCTGTTACGAGAGGGACAGTTCTCTGTAGCCGCAGCATTCCTTTCCGAAATAGCCGAAACGAAAGCTTCGAGGCAAGAGAACGATATGGATACGGATGGCCCAGACGACGCCACGACTCTTCTCGATATCGACGAAGTTCCTTCGAGCGAAGTGCGGAAACAATTCGCCACGATGTATTACATACTACATGAGATGAAGGAGAACAACAACTTGCTTCCGGCTATTCAGTGGTCAAGGGACAACAAAGAAGCTCTGGAGGCAAGAGGCAGTAATCTTGAATTCGAACTGTGCCGGTTACAGTTCGTCTGGCTCTTTCATGGCGGACAAGGCCCTGTTGTCGCGGGTCCACAAGCTGCATTGGAGTACGCCAGGCGTGAATTCCATCTTTTTCTCCCCAGGTACTTGGTGGAGATTCAGCAGCTGATGGGGGCGATGGCCTTTTCTCCAAACCTCCAAGAGTCGCCTTATCGAACTATTTTCGACAATCCGTCGGCATGGTCTGATGTGGCGCAGTCTTTCACTCGGGAGTTCTGCTCACTGCTGGGTTTATCTGCCGATTCACCATTATACATAGCAGCTACTGCTGGTGCGATAGCGCTACCCACTTTGTTGAAATTGCAGACAATTATGAAAGCAAAGAGGACAGAGTGGACCACACAAAACGAACTTCCGGTGAGTCGAGTCGCAGCCGTCCGCGTCACCGCTATCTTGTCTACGGATTTGATTTTAATTGACATACTTTATTCAGGTCGAAATCCCACTTCCACCCTCTTACCTCTTCCATTCGATCTTCGTCTGTCCAGTCTCCAAGGAACAAAGCACAGACGAGAACCCCCCAATGATGATGCCTTGCGGTCATGTTATTGCAGAAGAGTCGTTGAAACGACTTTGCAAAGGCACAAGATTCAAGTGTCCTTATTGTCCCAATGAGAGCCATCCCCGAGAGGCAAGAAAGGTCTTCCTATGAAGAATAGGGGTTCATCAAACATAACTGGTGTAAGATTCCTGCATCCCTTTCCGCCTGGAGGAAAGAATCGGCTTGATGGAGAACGGGATTGGGTCTTGGGAATCCGGATTTTCTTTGTTTCTTTTCTGCTACTCAACTGTGTAAGGATGGCGGCGTTTTCGGTGTCGAGGTCATAAGGGCATGCGGGAAGTCATATATGCGTATATTCTCTAGATAATCCTACTCTTGGTTTAAGACTAACTGCAAGCCCCTGCATATCGGCTCCCAGGATGCCCAAGACATTCCTTTAAAGGTCTGCCCCACATATGGGACGGTGTTATCCAGCTTCGACTTTGAGCAATTGAATAGCCACCTGGTAGATAATGTGGTATTTGTCTGTTTCACCCAGTAACCACTCATTATCAGGGAAAGTACCTAATCTAGGCCAGGATAATGCTTGCTCTGAAGGAGGATGTATCAACTTTCCTATTAATATTGTCTTAATCAAGGAATCAAACGTGTTTTCCGAGGCGATCCGAGTGCCCCACCCATCCTTTGACTATTTCTGACATCTAATTGGACAGCGAAAATCCCGTGACTGCGCGATGATTTGGCGATGCATTAAAAACCACTTTACGCGTGAAATACCTTACCTGTCTTTACGCGCCTGCAGTGAACTGGAACATTTTGTGATAGATGCACAAAGGAAGCGCCAACAATGTTGACGGGTGTACTCCAAATAATTTATAGATGTCTGAATGACTCGGAAGCTCAAAGGACATAAAAGAAACCAGTTTCCAACACTGGTTCAGCTTCTGGCCTTGTTGCTCTGTTCGTCGGCTGTTGCGACAGTATCACCCCCTTTGGCCGTCGTACTGATAGACGCAGGTACAGATACAAGCATACGGCCAGCTGTCTCACCATTGACCAAGTAATTGCAGCTTTATTCCATCAACCCCTGAGAACATACCGTTTGCTCTCAGCTCAATTGAGTAGCTCAGCCCGTCTTGAAGATGTTAACCCAACAGCACAGCAGTCAAAACATGCTTTCCATCAAACGTCCGTCTCAGAGTCCCACCGATAGCTTGTCCTCGAGATATCGCGCTGGAAAAGCGACCCAGCGAGTGAGGAAGCCCATCCGCGACTCTCCTAGTACTCCATCGCGACGGCTCGAAAGACGCCAAAGACCCGACAGCTCCCCAGACAAGAAGTAAGACCACCATCCTTTCCATCGCGCAAATCGTCGCGCAGGCGGTTGAATGCTAACGAACGACAACCTCCCGCCGCCAGCTCGTCGAGTACATCGATAGTCACCATCTCCGTTGGCCCAGAACAGCGCCTCTTCGCCGCCCACGAGGACACCCTCTGCACATCCCCTTTCTTCGCAGCCGCCTGCTGCCGGGCGCACTCGCCAGAATTGCCTCACAAGCGCATCACCCTGCCCGATGAACAGCCCGAGATCCTATCGTGCATTCTCGAATACCTCTACAAGGGCGACTACACGCCCCGGGCCATCTACAACAGGCACCGCGATACGTGGGAGCTCGAGAACACCGGCTTCGACACAGACGGACAAACCACCAATGCGACCATTTTCCACCAGGCAACTGGTTCGGTGATCCTGAGGGATACAGCCGTTTAGTACGTCTGCTTTGGAAACCGCGAGGCAATATACACACACAAGCCCAGACTAGTGACTAACATTGCTCCTCGAACAGCTGTGCAGCGCAAAAGTACGGTCTCGAGCCCCTGAAACGCCTTGCCTTACGGAAACAGGGTCTCCACTCCGGTATCCAGTGCAGTACCATCCTGACCAGTGCTCGCTACGCCTACGCCAACACCTCAGATAACGAGTCCAAACTGCGCGCTCATTATCTGGCGCTGATTATCCGGAGCCGGTCGACGTTCAAGCGGAGCGGGACCATGCAAATGGAGATGGAGAAGGGAGGAAAGTTATTCTTCGATTTGTTTGTCGCGATGTGCAATCATATGGTGTGTATTGTCCTCTCTGGGCTCTTTTGTATGAATGGAGCTGACTTTCGTCCTTCGCTTAGGATGACCTCACATCCACTGCTCAATCTTCTCTTGCTTAGTTCCACATCCAGATGTCCGTCGACTTATTACTCCATTTCAGGTTCAGACTGTTTGTTGCGCCTTTCTACTATACCCTTCGCTATTTTCGATTTGTTTGTCGCGCCTGCAAGGCCACACTGTACAGTAACTCTGTTTCATGTCTTGCCCCTCAAAAGCGGAAATAATGCAGTACCCTTCTTCTCACCTCGCAATCAATGTGTTCTCATTTGTGCATGCGAGGATTCTGGAATACACGTATTATGGATAGACGCTGTTTTCATAATCTCATATGTAATTTATACAATGATGGTGCAGTCTTCGGCATAAAACTGTCTTCCGCTGATGTATGTCGCTTACCGAACGATCCAGTTGGACCATGCGAGAAGCAGGGAGGCAGTGAGGTAGGAAGTGCAACCTGGTTGACATGCACCTCTTCCTCGAGGTGACCAGTCTGTTATCGGTATGTAAAGCTACCTAGTTGTGGATGAGAGCGTGTTGTGTCGCATCCAGATGGCTATTCATGCATCATAAAAGGGTATCATGGCGAATTAGGCTGCATATAAACAGCTCAAGGCTTTCTTCGCTGGCAATGCGTATGAAATCACCTGAAGAGTCGTGATAATTGCACTTGGAGGCCGTGATTTTGAGATCATATGTTGGGCGACCTCAAATTTCGAGTGTAGGCCCGGCTCTGGCTCAAGCTCAGCTTCAAATCGTAGGGTTGAATGGCGAAGTGGAGGTCTAAACGCCTGTTCCTGGAAAGGCCGTACCGCCCTTACTCAATACAACCATACCACGCTCCCGGGCAATGTAACCCTTCATGAGCCCCTAGCAACAGTCAATCAGTCTGTGCTCGCTCCATGTAATGAATAAGAAAAACATACCTTGTATATGAGGTTAGACAATAGGCATTCGACCTCATCAATATCTACCCGAGACCTGTCATCTGCATGTGTGCCAATCCTCAGCGCTGCTGCGAACTCAGCCACAGGAACACGGGTTCGGCGAATCGGAGGCTGGCCGTCCTTGGGTTCTTCGAACCCTCCAGCGATGAAAACCTTCCGGAATAGATTTCGCAGAGCAATATCGCGTCCTCGTTCGAGCGGCAGATAGATGCGTCTCTTGACAAATTCCTCTTCTCCGGCGGACATGGCTGTGTCAAATCCAACCAGATCTCCCTTTCGTATGCATTCGCACAAGGGGCGGAATAGTTTCTCCAATCTGGGAAAGGGTGCGAGAAGTTTTTGGGATGGTAGAGTATGGGTTGTGACGAGGTGGCAGGGAACAAGATATGTGAGGATCAGCCTACTAAAAGTTAGCGAGAGCATAGAGACATGCGCTTAAGGTTCACTGACTCTCGATTTTTGAATGCACTCTTGTGGCACATTTTCCACGCACACGCCAGATGTTCTTCCGCCTGTGGAAGGCCATCGGAATCAGCCTTTAATATTAATTAAAAAACCCAAGATCGTCTTACCTCCGCGTAATTTTCATCTAGAAAGTGAATAACACCAACATAGTACTTGAACGTGACTATGTGGGACTTGGGGAAAGCTTCCAGCTCAGGGAGATCGGCGGACGAAGCACTAAGAGCACGAAGAAGGTTCTTTGAGAGTCCGACTGAGTTGAGCTAGGTTTGTCAGCCGACGTTCAGCAACGGAACGGGCTTCATTCGTACCTTAAAGTATGTCTTGAACAAAAGATTTGTGGTGTTGTAGATACCCCATTTCCGGGATTCTTCGATCGGTGTCCTTGAATTGTACTCAGCAATTTGCGAAAAGAGCGGAGGGCTAGAGCAACTACAAACCTGTCGCTCAGACAAAGTGTAAACATCCGATTGATTATCCGGGCAGCCTCCTCGAGTTTCGCACTCTTCTCGAAATCTGCAGCGACATCATCTTGGAACCGGTCACCAAAAGCCACGGCTCCTTGAGAGGAAACCTCAGCGTCTGCTTTGATCGCAAAAACCCTCAAGTATTTCCCAACCACATAGAGACACGGCACTGTCCATGCTTGAAGTCCGAAATTCGTGTAGCCCCTGATGAGAGTATTTGCTACATTTTTCCAAGCATCAAAAACCTTGGCCCAGCTGGCCGACGGGTTATACTCCTCGAATTTGATGATCTCCCCTACAGCCTTCCAATACGCTGAGAAGATGTCCACCCAGCCATTCTGCTCTTGCTTTGGGAGCTTCAGGCCATTTGCTTGGAAAAGTGAATAGCGCAGATCCGCCGAAATATGTTCAGAGTCAGAAAAGTTGTAGAAGGACAGCAAGCGATCGGGGCATTCGGAGGTTGCGATGGGTGTCAGAGCTGCCGCCAAACGAGGACCAGACCCGTTCTTCTGGCCTTCCTTGAAGTCTGTAAAGACAGACGCCATGGCAGACTGCGTGTTTAACCAGAGTCCTAGATTTTCGTGTCGAAGCGTCAGTGCTCTGACAGTAACAGAAATATCTTCAACAAACAACCTGGACTAATCATGAAGCTAGTCTACCTAGGCTCTGGTGTCATCATCCATTCCTGCCTCCTTCATCGACAAACGCGAACATGATTGGGGGGAAAGTGGGGAACAACGCGGGCTGCCGTGGATTCCTGAGGCCCTTATCAGCCGCTGTGGCTGAGCGTCCAAATCAGGTATAGCGTCCGAGTCAAGCCCCAACCGCCTGGTCGCTTAGGCGAAGGGCGGCAGCCCTAACTCAACAAGTTTCACAAATCCTCATTTTCGACCAGACCAGCCGGCACACCTATCTCGACAGTCAACCACAACAGAGTCGACAAAAGTAAGCACCACCCTCGTTACCTGTCTTTTTGTCGTTTGCATTTGATACTAATTGGATTTCCAGATGGGTGAGTGATTTTTTTCCCTCGATGACACGAAAATTTCCCCGATCGGTTGCAATGGTTTCCCGCGGACGTCGAATGACATATTTTCGAAGAATGGGTCCTGGACGACAATGACAATGGAGGATACGCCGACAGAGAGAGGGAAGTGCGCGAGATCTTTTGGAAAGATGGAATGAGACTGTTCATTGAAGAAGGAGGTGGAGTTGAACTCCGGTCGCACATTGTCGAAATTTTTCCAGATTCAGGGCTGAACAAGCGCGCCATCAACCATGACGTTCGCGCGGAAATCAATGCAACGATCAAAGACGCTTTTCTATTCGATTCGGATATACTTGAAGGAACAGTCACTGACTGGTGTGTCTCACAGGGCGTCTCACCGAGTACCAGGTCATCGGGCGTCACCTGCCCACCGAGGCTAACCCCACGCCCAAGCTGTACCGCATGCGCATCTTCGCGCCCAACACCGTTGTGGCCAAGTCGCGCTTCTGGTACTTCTTGACCCAGCTCCGTAAGGTCAAGAAGGCCAACGGTGAGATCGTCAGCCTCAACGTGGTATGTCTACTATGGGAAAGGTTTCTTCGGTCAAGATGAGGTCGACTGACTTTGTCTCTTTTCTTGTTCGCTAGATCAGCGAGAAGCGCCCTCTCAAGGTCAAGAACTTCGGTATCTGGCTCCGCTACGACTCTCGCTCCGGTACCCACAACATGTACAAGGAGTTCCGTGAAATGAGCAGAACCGAGGCTGTTGAGGCCCTCTACCAGGACATGGCTGCTCGTCACCGTGCCCGCTTCGGCTCCATCCACGTATGTTGAAGCCCATTCGCGAGCAAATGGTCCTCTTGAGATCTAACGAACTGCATGCAGATCCTCAAGGTTGTCGAGATCGAGAAGGCCGACACCATCCGCCGCCCCTACATCAAGCAGCTCCTCCAGAAGAACCTCAAGTTCCCTCTCCCCCACCGCTCCGCCAAGCCTGCTGGCAAGAAGGTCTTCGCCTACTCGAGACCCTCTACCTTCGCTTAGATATGACGTTTTGGGCTATGGGAGATGGAGTGTGCGGATCAATGACTATGTTATGGCCATAGCGTGCAAGAAGGACACGGATCACGCGGAGAACAAGGCGTGTATCTACCGCCCAGAAGATGGGACGGATGTTTTTGATGTCTCTTTAGTCCTCTGCAGCGACCCTTGCAAGTTATTATCAAAAAAATTACCGAGGTTCTTTTCTTTTCTTAATAGCATAGTTCTATCTGAGAGGTAGTCCGCGTAGTACTCGGTAGATTTCTCTTTCTGATGCTGTCTCTGTATGTAGTAACAGGCTGGGTAAGCGGAATGGCTCGGCAATTGAGTATATTGCTGTTGCTAAAGTGCAGGATGTCTCTGGACTTCCATCAGACGTTGTGAGACTGCCAGTGCAAATGACAACAGCCAATGCTTTGAGAACGGTCAGTATATAGCGTCCACCGAGGTCATCTCTCCGTGAAAACCACAACTATGGCATCTTCATCTTCATGGAAGAAAATACTGAGCCCAACATACAATGACATTCATCATTGTCTCTCTATCCAATTGCTCTCAGCGAAAACCCCCGACCGAATTAGTAATCGTCAGGAACGGGTATTGCGTCATGCGAGACCAGTAAGTCGGACAGTGGGAGAACCCGAAACGCGAGGAACTAGGTATCTACTAAGGTTGAACATCCCCACCGATTTCTTGTTTCTCTTCCGGTTCGGCTTATTCTTCAATTGACAACCAGTTTGTGTCAATTCTATTCACAATGTTTGCGCGTCAATCTCTTCGCTTTGCTCAGCCCTTGAAGCAGGTATAAAAAGATGGCTCCGAACAGTTTTGTGTCCTTTTAGGGAGGGAAGGACATTGGCTGACTGACGCACCCAGGGCTTCCGCAAATACTCCACGGAGGCACCCTCCAAGGGCAAGGCTTCTCTCGCTCCGATCTACATCTCCGTCGGTCTCGCTGGTCTCGGTGTGGGATTGTACCGGTACAACTCTGCCAGCGCGGAGGTTCCCGCTGCAGAGCGCCCGAAGGTTTTTACCGGTGGTGACCAGGGTTGGGTTGATCTCAAGTTGGCTGAGATCGAGAAACTCAGCCCCAACACCAAGAGACTGCGTTTTGAGTTTCCTGACAAGGATGCTGTCTCTGGTCTTCAGGTCGCATGTGGGTAGACCTTTTTTCCTGGAGACGTTGGGTTGTCTCATAGCTCACTTTTCGCCGTTTAGCTGCCCTGTTGACCAAGTTCAAGCCCCACGACGCCGAGAAGCCGGTAATCCGTCCTTACACCCCCGTGAGCGATGAAGGTACGCGCTCTCTTCTCGAATGTACCTGGCAGTGATTGACTCCATCTCTGCAGATCAACCCGGCTACCTCGACCTCGTCGTCAAGGTCTACCCCAAAGGCCCCATGTCAGAGCACCTCCACAACATGAACGTCGACCAACGCCTGCAGTTCAAGGGACCCATCCCCAAGTATCCCTGGGAGGCCAATAAGCACAAGCACATCTGTCTGATCGCCGGTGGCACTGGTATCACGCCCATGTACCAGCTGGTCCGCCATATCTTCAAGAACCCCGAGGACCAGACCAAGGTCACCCTTGTCTTCGGCAACGTCAGTGAGGAGGACATTCTCCTGAAGAGAGAGTTCGAGGATCTGGAGAACACCTACCCCCGCCGCTTCAGGGCCTTCTACGTGCTGGACAACCCTCCCAAGGAGTGGACCGGCGGCAAGGGCTACATCACCAAGGAGCTCCTGAAGACCGTCCTCCCCGAGCCCAAGGAGGAGAACATCAAGATCTTCGTGTGTGGACCTCCCGGCATGTACAAGGCTATCAGCGGACCCAAGGTCAGCCCCAAGGACCAGGGTGAGCTGACTGGTATTCTTGCGGAGTTGGGTTACAACAAGGACCAGGTCTTCAAGTTCTAAGCCGGTGCGCTTAGCGTTTGTAAAAAGGAATAGTCCACTGTGTCACTAGAAGTACCCTGTAGCGCATGGGGTGGTCATACATTTAGAGCTCGAGTATCGAGATCATGCATCTACTTTTATCATACACTGAACCATGTCTGAGTCTAGATTCCTGTCATCCAGAACCATGGAATGGATGTTCATGGGCACCGGCAAGCAACGCTAGCAGTGTCATCTATAGCATAGATGAAAGCAGTTAAACTTCCACAATGAGAGCTCGAGTTAGTCACTCCAATCCTGCAAGTAAAAGGCACGACAAGGTAGGTACCAAGCAACGGAAGGGGTTACTGATATCGTAACTAAGCTGACACTGACATCAATTCCATCACAACTCACGCACTATGACTACACTCAGCCTGGTAATATTACTCCCCAGCAACTAACAGGGCGATGAATGCTGTTGAAGCCCGAGCCAGAATGGCTGATCATGGTTTCACTGTGGGATATATATATTCTCTCCGGCATAGCAAATACACCCTGGACAATAACCCGCCTATCACGACATGATCAAATATTTATTGAATTGTTATCGAAACGAAGTCTATTTGCCATGCGTATCGTATCATCACTAAAGTAAGAGTGCAACGAGAACATCCTGCTTGCAGACAACAACCCCGCTTCTTCAGTCATGTCCAGTGTAGACTAGGCTACCGGCTACATGATGGGCCCCACGGAGCGGTCAGTAGCTGTAGGCGCAAGGCAAGCCTACAACTGCAACTGCAAGAGTGAGTACGTACTGAGTAGTGACTAGTGAGGGAGTGGGGTGGGGTCTTCAGAAGAGCTCCGAGTTCGAACGAGCCGAAGCTGTTGTTTGTTCCTTTTTTTTTTTTTAAGCGCTTGGAGTTGGGACTGGGAGGGTTCCGGGGAGCGCCGAAGTGAAGGTACTCTGTTGTGCAAAGCATGGGGTCATCGGGCTGGTCTTCTGTCGGAACTTGCATTTACGCGCGGCTGGGTGCGGCAGAGAAGAAAGAAGCAAGTATGGAAGAAATGTACGTATCACAAATGGAGGGCATATGTTGTGATTGATGGTGGGATCTATCTATATTAAGTACGGATACCTAGTGGGATGGATATTCGAAACCTGAAACCGAGTGGGAAAGGGGACTGAGGAATGGAGCCGAGGATTGCAGAGTAGATGAGCTTGGACGGTTGGGTAACGCAGGCAAGAGGTTGCAAAATTGTTGTTGAGAACCACTGTCACCGACCTTTTGCATGGAAGAGAAAATGATCTTGAAGGCCAGCGGGTTCGGGGGGGGAAACATGGAGCCTGCAGGGGTACGGAGGGAGTACTTTAGTCTAGTTACAGCATCATGCCACCATGTTTAAGAAGGCCCTAGCTTGGCTGAAGCTCTGGCTTGCAATAGCTGGGATTTAGGCGCCCGGGAGCCCGGTCAGTAAGTAGCAGAAGGGCTTAAGCCATTCAAGTCGGGAGCCTGGGTTTTAGGGGGGAAAGGCAACCCCGAAGGTGAGGACCTTAGGATCTTAGGTAGCCGTGGTGCTGTCCCTAGACTAGGGGCTAGTACTCTGTGCGTAGGCCAAGGCCACAGCCCATCATCTCTGGCCCATCTAAGCACTGCCAGTAGTACCAAGCACTACGGAGCTGAACTGCTGAACTGAAGCTGAAGCTGAAGCTGAAGAGGGATGAGTCTCCCCCTAAGCCTAAAGCAGCGACCACTGGGCCCAGCGCTGCCCACGGCCACTATTTAGGGCGCAGTGCTCCCGCCCTCTACCGCGCTGAACCCCCGCCAGGAATGAAAAATTATTTTCTTCTCTCCATCTCCCTTCTCTCTTTCTCTTCTTCCCCCAAACACAACAGCAACAACAGCAACAACAGCTACCCTACCCTCCCAATATCTTCAGGTCTTTGGTCTGTTGTTTCTTTTCATCATGTCGCGCAAGGACGATCCCAAGGCCCATGATGGCCAAGTCACTGTCAATGTTGAGGACTTTACCCGGACCCGTGAAAGTGTGAGTTATCTTTTGTGTTTCAAGCTGCTGCTGCAGCAGTTTGCCCCCCGAAAACTGGTGGTGTTGCAGCGTACCATGGCCGCCCACCCCAGCACTTGCCCACGCGTCAGTAAACAAACCACAAACCCACCTGCGCGCACTCCCTATCTACCTTAACCTACCTACCTATCTGTAAAATTACCTATGCACTGAGCGCAGGGTAAAACTTACTTGTGACATTGCTCTTAATCCTCATTATGCCGTTCCTTTTCTGTTACTTTGGCCTATTCATTCATGGTCGACAATAGCTTCGTGCGGCCTTTCCGGCCCTCCGCCAGGCGCCCCTATCCTCGTCCTCCCGGGCTTTGGCGCGTACCCAAACCTGCTCACAGTCACATACCATATTGCTGTCGCCTCACGACTTCACCCATCCTTGTAACTCTACAGCCCAACTAATGTATCTCAGGTTCTTGTCAGCTTGTCTAATCTGCAGGCGGCTGTCTCCGATCTGACTCGCGCCTATATCAACCATACCAACACTGTGTTGAACCCTAGTCTCTCTACGCTGGACTTGGGCAACTTCAACAACATCACTGCCGCACTCTTGGAGAATGGATTGCTGGGTGCGCGCTCCAGCAGCCCTGGCGCCAAGTCTGAGGTTGGCGATAAGAAGAAGCGCAAGCGCGCTCCTCCTGACCCGAACGCCCCCAAGCGTGCCCTGACCCCCTACTTCCTGTACATGCAACATAACCGCCCCCTCATTGCGCAGGAATTGGGCCCCAGCGCTAGGCCCAAGGATGTCTCCGACGAGGGCACTCGTCGCTGGGCTGAGATGCCCGAGGCGCAGAAGGAGGTATGTGATTTTTATCGGGATGATTTTTTTGCAGAGCTTTTGCTAACATATCGACAGGTCTGGAAGAAGCTTTATGCCGATAACCTGGCCGTCTACAAGGAAAAAGTCAAGGCCTACAAGGCTGGTCTGCCCTGGTCCGAGGATGACAACACCAAGGCGGCCAGCCAGCTCCAGCAGGACATTGCTGGCGCATCTGCCTCTGGTGACGAGTCCGAGGAGGAGCAGGAGGAAGAAGCGGACGAGGAAGAGGAGACAGAAGAGTCCTCTCCGGAGCCGGTCAAGGAGCCCACTCCGCCTCGTAGCAACAAGCGCCGCCGCAGCGAGGTGAAGACTCCATCTAAGAAGAATGAATCCCCCGAGAAGAAGAAGCGCACCTCTGCGCGCAAGGGAAATGAAAAGGACAAGGAGGAGGAGCAACCCGCTTCGACTCGCAAGGCTGCTGGCGCCGACGCCAAGCGCTCCAAGAAGAAGCGCAAGAGCGAGGTTGGCGCTGATGAGTAAATTAGAAGCCGATCTTGATTGTTCATAGCTGTCGTGCGGGTATACGGTGCCTTGAATGGATATATGTTTGGCTTTGTTGTGCATCTACTGGTTGATACTGTGTTGCCGATGTGGTCTCTTCCAAAAGTGCTCTACAATCATTTTGGATTGTGTTAATCAACAATGTTTGTATTCAGCAAGGGAGGTTGAGCTAGGACATTCCATGATGTTTAATTCCGGGTAAATGCTTGTAGAGGAGGTCTCAGGCCCGATCCCGTCGAGTCCATCCTCATATCGTGCACAAGTCTGGATCAGAAGAGAACGTGAAGAATGAGGATGAAAAATGAGGATGAAGAGAATGAGTTAGATAGAGAAGCAAGGAGTTACAGTCGAGACACAGAGCATGCTGACTTCTAGTAAAAGAAAATCCGTCAAGGAATTCCATTAGTCAGGGAGTAGCACAAATCCTTAACAAGGCTGGCAGAACCAGGAGAGAAAGCTAAAAAAGTCATGCAGTGTCAGACTCTCATCTGTTGATCATTAGCGGTAAATATAAAATCCAATGCGTCAAGCGTCAAGCGTCAGGTACCTAGGTAGTGTCAAGCACTGAGTCCTGAGGCAAGGGAGAATTCCATGTTAGTAACAAAATCACGGCCAACTGCCATAGGCCGAGCAGCCCTTATCGCAGCCTTATCTCTCCGGCCACCATAAAGTACTCCATCCCCACTCAGGACTCTCCCTCTCCCGGCCTTCGCCTGTGTCCCTTTGGCTGACTCTCTGGAGTCTGAAGTCTGAAGTCTGGACTGGGCTGGACTGGCTGAACCTGGCTAAATGTTTTAAATTCAATCAAGTGCCCCTCTTCTTTGTCTGTTTTTGTTTCTCAAGATTTTGGTTCAGAGATTGTTCGATTCTTTTGCCCTAGTCCATCGTGATACCCTTTCCTCATCGCCTTGCACGTGGCTGGGGCGATTGTGATTCGCAGGCCAAGACAGCTCCTTCTCCCCCCGCCCGACTGACTACTGCACTGTTACGATGCACCTCATCCCCAAGGAGGTATGTTATGCCATTCAGTCCATATATGACAGGGATCCGCTTGCGTACGGCATACACCCGCAACTGAAGTCAGCACTGACAATGTTGCACTGACAGCTGGACAAGCTCGCCATCTCGCAGTTGGGATTTCTCGCCCAGCGTCGGCTTGCACGTGGTGTGCGACTCAATCATGCGGAGGCGGTGGTATGTATTACGTACCCTCTATTCTCGTTGCGCGATACACCTGGGAAAGTCTGTATCATAGCTAATCGCGTGTCCAGGCTCTCATTTCGTCGAATCTGCAAGAGGTATATCCCCAACCCAAGCTGGATCCCATCGCGCTTACACGCAGCAGCTGATTCGCGATGGCCACTACTCGGTGGCCGATCTCATGTCCATCGGCAAAACCATGCTCGGCCGTCGCCATGTCCTGCCCTCCGTCGTACATACTCTCGTCGAGCTCCAGGTCGAAGGAACGTTCCCCACAGGCACTTACCTCGTGACGGTCCACCATCCCATCAGCAGCGATGACGGCGATCTGGAGAAAGCGTTGTATGGCAGCTTCCTCCCCATTCCACCGGCGGATGCGTTCCCCGATCCGAACCCGGACGACTACCTCCCAGAGAAGATGCCAGGTGCTGTCCTGCCCGTGAAGAACGAACGGATTACTCTGAACGATGGGCGCAAGCGCATCAGGCTGAAGGTGATGAGCAAGGGCGATCGCCCAATCCAGGTTCGTTCAGGCGCCACTCAGACTCGTGCGCGCACAAGAATTTCTGACTGACCGCGATTAGGTCGGCTCCCACTACCACTTCATCGAGACCAACCCTCAGCTCCATTTTGACCGTCTGCGGGCGTACGGATACCGGCTCGATATCCCCGCTGGTACTTCGGTCCGGTTCGAACCCGGCGACACCAAGACCGTCACGCTGGTCGAGATTGCAGGCAATCGCATCATCAAGGGTGGCAACTTCATTGCCTCTGGAAAGGTTGATACCAGTCGAGCCGAGGAGATCATGCAGCGCTTGGAGGTCGAGGCTTTCGCTCATGTCCCTGAACCTGAACCGACAGCGGACAATGCGCTCATCGCGCCTTTCACGATGGACCGAGAAGCTTATGCGCGGATGTTTGGACCCACCACCGGAGACCTGGTCAGATTGGGACTGACTAACCTGTGGGTTCGGGTGGAAAAAGATTGTACGGTTTATGGAGACGAGTGCGCTTTCGGTGGCGGCAAGACTCTTCGCGAGGGTATGGGCCAGTCCTCGGAGAGGTCCGAAGCCGAGTGTCTGGACACCGTCATTACGAATGCGCTGATCATCGACTGGAGCGGAATCTACAAGGCTGACATTGGTATCAAGAATGGGCTGATCTCTGCTATTGGCAAGGCTGGCAACCCGGATATGATGGACGGAGTGCATCCGGACATGATTGTCGGCTCATCCACTGATGTCATTGCTGGAGAAAACAAGATCGTGACGGCCGGCGGATTCGATACCCACATTCACTTTATCTGCCCTCAGCAGGTGGACGAAGCGCTTGCTTCTGGTGTCACCACATTTTTGGGCGGAGGGACTGGTCCGTCGACCGGTACGAACGCGACGACCTGCACGCCCGGACCAACGCACATGCGCCAGATGATCCAGGCGTGCGACAGTCTCCCGATCAATGTCGGGATCACCGGCAAAGGTAATGACTCTGGTGGCAAGAGTATCGAGGAGCAGATCCGTGCCGGAGCGGCCGGCTTGAAGTTGCACGAGGACTGGGGGTCCACCCCCGCCGCGATCGACACCTGTCTCGCCATGTGCGACAAATTCGACGTCCAATGCATGATCCACACCGACACGCTGAATGAATCCGGCTTCGTGGAGCAGACCGTCAAATCGTTCAAGAACCGCACCATCCACACCTACCACACGGAGGGGGCCGGCGGTGGCCATGCACCCGATATCATCTCCGTCGTAGAACACCCCAACGTGCTGCCCAGTAGCACCAACCCCACGCGCCCCTTCACCATGAACACCCTGGACGAGCACCTGGACATGCTGATGGTGTGCCACCATCTGTCCAAGAACATCCCCGAGGACGTCGCCTTCGCCGAGTCCCGGATCCGCGCCGAAACCATCGCTGCCGAGGACGTCCTCCATGACCTCGGCGCCATCAGCATGATGTCATCGGACTCGCAGGCCATGGGCCGGTGCGGCGAGGTGATCCTGCGCACTTGGAACACCGCGCACAAGAACAAGGCGCAGCGCGGGCCCCTCAAGGAGGACGAGGGCACCGGCGCGGACAACTTCCGCGTCAAGAGGTACATCAGCAAGTACACCATCAACCCGGCCATCGCGCAGGGTATGTCGCACCTGATCGGAAGCGTCGAGGTTGGCAAGCTCGCGGACCTGGTCATCTGGTACCCCAGTACCTTCGGCACCAAGCCGGCCCAGATCCTGAAAAGCGGCATGATTGTCGCCTCGCAGATGGTACGTCTTTCCCCTGTTTTTTTTATTTTTTTATTTTATTTTATTTTTTTTTTTTTCCCTGTAGACCTATTGCCATCGTTTGACTAACGAGTACAGGGCGACCCCAACGGCTCCATCCCGACCATCGAACCGGTCATCATGCGTCGCCAGTTCGGCGTAAGCTCCCTCTCTTCTTCGCTTCAATCCTTCAAATCAGTCTACTAACAAGGTCCAGGCCTTCGTCCCAAGCACATCAATCATGTGGGTCTCCCAGGCCTCCATCGACGACGGCATCGTCCAGTCCTACGGCCTCAAGAAACGTATCGAGGCCGTCAGGAACTGCCGCAACGTCGGTAAGAAGGACATGAAGTTCAATGACACCATGCCCAAGATGCGGGTTGATCCGGAGAGCTACCGCGTCGAGGCGGACGGGGTGCTCTGCGAGGCGGAGCCGGCGGGCGAGTTGCCTTTGACGCAGAGTTACTTCGTTTACTAGGCTTGGGCTGTCTGCTTGTCCCTGGCCTTTTTTTCGGAATGTGCAAACTTGGACTTGGCTTTTGGTTGTTGTCGTTTTTATATACCATCATTTTGTTAGCATCAGCGATACCGATACGGACGAATAATGATTCACGCAGTATATGGTTCACATGATTCTCATCAGCTACCAACACTGGTAAGGTAACTATCATACATCGTCTAGATACCTAACACATAGGGAGACGACTAAAGTTCAGCTTCCTCCGTGCTGTGATTATCCCCCGCCGAAACAAGCCCCATGCAAGCCCACGCGTCGTAGCTATCCGCCCGCGCAGCAAGATATGCCGCGCGTCGCGCACGAGACGAGCTCGATCTGTTCAAGGTCCGGGGTAGTCCCGGCGCTCCCTCCGAGTCAGGGTCGCCGGAGCCGTCCTGCTGGAGAGGCCCGACGATTTGATCCTGCGAGGCCAATGCGGACGAGGAGATGGAGAGGGTATTGGTTGCTTGGCTGTCGGGTATATCATTATCGTTATGATCATCATTATCGTGGTTGTGGTTGTGGTTGTGGTTGTGGTTGTGGTTGTGGTTGTGGTTGTGGTTGTGGTTGTGGTTGTGGTTGTGGTTGTGGTTGTGGTTGTGGTTGTGGTTGTGGTTGTGGTTGTGGTTGTGGTTGTGTGTTTCATCCTCGGTTTCAGAGCTTTCCCCATGCGGTAGGTGGAATCCATCTTCTTCCGCGGTGGGCCAGGAGGATGGGAGGGCACCCAGGTTTATCTCCGGGTGCTGGGGTCTCTCTGCGTGAAGGAAGTGCCAGGCGCGGCGGATCTCGTTGCGTTTCGCTTTTGCTGATTCTGGGGTGGATTTGGGGA